GTTTATAACGGGAACGAATGCTTTTATGTAGAAGTTTAGGAAATTTAATCGTTGTGTTGAGCATATTCTAGACGACTTTGAGGGAAACAGTCAACATTCAGCCGTGCATACCATTGAAAAAATGTCAATGCGAAAGCGGTCCAATATGCGGTCATGTGGCTGAAGCAATCAGCTGCTGATCTTGTGATCCAAAGGACAAGGCCAGGTAGCGATATATTATTTGGACCATACGGTCTGGATATTGGTGTACTCGGGGCTCCATCGACCACCACCGTCTCTAGATGGGGGGATCCGACCCAAAAAACGCCCGCCTTTATACATTAACCCTCGCCCGCACATGCCATTTTCCCATCCTAGAACGCACATGGGGGGGGTGGTTGCCACCCCCCCCCCCCGCGCCATTTCGTTCTTGTTGGAGATAGAGCTTAGCAGTAAAGACCAAAAAGATTCTTTGGGAAGAGACGAATCCAATGATACCCAGTTTTACCTTCTCAGGTCAGTCATTGACCTTCCAGGTCAGGTCAAACTAAAAAATGTTGCTGTTTTGGGTCACCGTTGGATATCAAGTGCGCTGCTTATCAAATACCGATGACGATGCTGTTTTCTGGTGCCAAGCCAGCTAGAACCTCTTTGTCACACTATCCGACCAGAATTTTGCTGCTGAGGTCATTTCAGGTCAAGTTAGGTCAAGGTCAATTATATGTGTTTGTATGTCTGTGTGTGTCTGTGTGTATACTGATGTGTGCACCGATTGTTTTTGGGTCCATATCACATGAAATCATGATCTGAGAAGCTTTTACCAAAAATGCAGTCAAAAAACTTCACAAAAAGTAAATTCAGCTTGCCTAAAACGCAATTATCTTAGATGACCTAGGTTGACCTTGACCCTGACCTTGACCCCTGTACATCGTCGAACAACATGTTCCATGATAGGTGGGAGGTAAGACTGGCAAAAAAGGCCGAAATCAGGGTGTCAAAAGCTCACAAGGCCCATGGCAAACGCAAGATGTTGAGAATTGGCCATTTGGGTCATGACATGACCTGAAAAACAAGGTCATATCTCCGAAACCAAAAATCACAGAAACTTGAAATTTTCAGTGGACATCATGAAAGGATAGACAAGCAGCTATACGAAAAATCAGCCTTCTAGCTCTAAAAATGTTGAGTGCAGAGCAGAAAGACTGCCTGGGGGGGGGGGTGGCAACCACCCCCCCCCCCCCCATGTGCGGGCGAGGGTTAAGCTGCATTACGGTAATGCGCACCGCACACGACCCACGATGGCGAGGCCCCTGTTTATAGCAATAGGCTACTGGCAAATATTTGTTTCATTACTTTAGCACGATAAATATTTTAGTATTCAAAACCGTCTCGTCGGATTCAACGGGTGTATAAGAGGTGGTTTACGGTTTGCTTGCTAATGCAAAAGACGCGTCAATATACATAGTTACGTCGTGTCGTCGATGCGCCTTACAGCCCACCCCAAATACCGATTCGATCTGGCCTGTACCGGGACCATTCCATCGACCGAAGGCCAAGTCATAGACCTTTCTTTATCCTAGGCCATGCCGATAGGGAGCAAAAAGCGAGCGCCGAAACGGCTCGAAGCGGACTCTTATCACTACGTGTTGGTCGGCTCTGGATGCGGACACTATATCCCAATGAGCTATTGAGGGCTTACTCACTCTTCTTGTAAGAATCGGTTCCGGGATCAAATGAATCTTCATTAGTCATTACCCTACTCTGTACGATTTACTTCAGAATGATGCTCCACTTTTCACTGGCAATCAGTTGGCTGGGGTGGTAGGCTGTGCCGCATCACATGGGCTGAGTTCACAGTTTAACCCGCGCCCTGCTGGGGGGGGGGGTGTTTGAACACCCCCCTTGTGGTTTTTCGCGAATATCTCAAAAACGGCGGCGCGGAGCGCCGCCGTTTTTGGTACACCTTATCGTACATCAATTCTACACATGTTGTGAAAATTTCAGACCAAGGTCATTCAAGGTCAGGTCACCAGGTCACTTGAAGTGACCTCACCTCATAAAAAGTTTCAATGTCTGTCATAGCTACACCGAGTGACCGATCGCTTTGAAAGTTTCAGCGATTGCTAAGAGCAATAGCATGTACAAAATGTATATCTCAGAATTTTGATATCGATGACCTAAGGTCAGGTCAATTTTGCGACCTCCCCATTATAAGTCAATGGGAGAAAATTGAAATGCGCCTCTTTTGGACAAAAGACATTATAAACACTCCCAAACACCGAATTACAAGTGGTTCAGACACACTGAACATGAAAATGGTGTCAGTGACCCTTGTTTATGCCCTGAGGTCATCTTAGGTCACGAATGGTATCTAACAGTTTTTCGCAAATAACTTTTGATAGAGGCATGCTAGAGCGATGAAAACGCCTTAGCTGTGTTCAGCTTGACGATACGGATCGACTGATATGCAACATGACCCTTTCCGGTCAGGTCATGACCTGAGGTCAAATTTTCAAGTTGACCTTTCAAGGTCACCTTATAGTTCATTCGATGCGTCTTGACGAGAGGAACACAATGCCGGTAAAAGTAAGCTCGTACAAGGCTTGAGTCAAAAGTTATTGCAGAAAAACTGTTTCCGAAAAAATCGGCTATTTTTGCCATTTTTGCCCCCTGCAGGCAAAACCGTTGACGTTAGGTCAAATCTGAGTGAATTACTCAGAAAGGGCTTTAATAGGGCTATCGAATGCTCTTTTCTGCGGCGCTGTAACTCTATTGGTTCTCGAGTTATGCATTGGCTTCTTGGAAATTTTCGACATTCGACCTGGAAATCGGCGAAATTTTGCCTTCAATGACCTCTGGTGACCTGACCTTTGACCTGACCAAAAAATTGACCGAAGTGATTTCGTCATTATTTTTGACGCTCTTTCGAACGCCGCCTTCCGCGTATCGCTACGTGGCCCAGGAGCCGAGTTACAAGGGGGGGGGGGGTGTTCAAACACCCCCCCCCCCCCCAGCAGGGCGTGGAAATCCAGGACCCCCAGCCGGGCGCGGGTTAACCCGCGCCCCGTTGGGCTCTGCCGAGCAACGCGCCCTGTTGTGGGAGGCCAATTTGGCCCCTCCCCCTAAGATCTCGAGAACCACGCAACCTAGCGACAAGCGGCAAACGGTGTTGGATAGCCCTATCAGGGAACTACCCGGTGATCCAATTTTATTGACCTAGGTCAAACCCATGACGTCACAGGTCAGGTCAAAGGTCGAATTTTCACCGTTTACAGGCATTTCAAGAAATGCGTTGTAAAGTCGAGTAAAATGCATTTCATTGAAAATCATCAATGGGGAAATGTTCTTCAAACACATATTTTGCTATTTGAGGTCACTGATACCAGGTCAGGTCACAGAGGTCAGGTCACTGGGGGGTCACATTATGAAAGTGTCGTGTGATACATGTTTTATAGTCCATTTTACATGAAAAATGCGATTATGTGGGTCAGGCAGCCTTTGGGGTCAGCTTAGGTCACGTTTTGGTCAAGGTCAGGTCAAGGTCAGGTCAAGTTCAGGCCAAGATCAGGTCAAGGTCAGGTCAAATTAGGTCAAATTTCAAAGTTGATATTTTTGCATTAAATGGGTATCGATTCGATGCAGCTCGTCACGGGGAGTTCAATGGTGGTCTTTGTTTTGCCCTACGTGGTCTAGAATCGAAAATCGAGGTCTAGAAAAATTGAGTTCAAAGTTTGACATCCTTTTTGAACAGTTTTTTTTTTCGCTATAACTTGTCAAAAAAGCAAGATATCGATCTGAAATTTGGTATGTATATAGAAGAGCGCAGGGACTATTACATATATTCCTTTTTTGAAATTCGGAATTTGTTTTTGGATTTTTTTGTAGTTTTTCTAAAAAAAAATTTTTTTTTGAATTTTTGGGGATGAAAAACCCAAAAATTTGAAAATCGAAGATAGCAGTTTTGTAGCGCCGATTTTTGTCTACTAGACCATATAAAGAACTTTGAAATTGCTTGGTAACTGTAGATTTGGTGAGCGTTTCAAGATTGCATGTTTTTCGCTCATTTTTGTTCGAACATGACCTCAGTTTGACCTCAATAACTCCTGACCTAAGGTGACCTAAGACTTGAAATTTGGTGTGAAGGTGTGAAATTGATGCCCAGGGAGGTACTGAAAATTTGGCGGCGCTGCGCGCCGTCGTTTTCTTACTATTCAGGAAAAACCACGAGGGGGCCAATTTGGCCCCCCAACGGGGCGAGGGTTTTAATGCGTGATAAACGGCGCATCTTAACGCTCAGTTAATATACAGCTTTTGAGGAGTGGAACATCATAATGTAGTCAACTACACTGGTGGATCCAGAAAGGCGGTATTGGACGCTGCGGGGGGGGGGGGCACACCCCGAAGAAAAGCTTTTCCAATGTCCAAAAACTCCTCGGATTTCGAGTCCTTAGTCTTACGCACCCCTGCGCAGTTTAAAGTAAACTTTTTCTGATCAAAGTTTTTTTTGTCATGTTATTATTCTTGAAAAAAACGCAAATTTTAGTCGATTTCGGGAGCCACATTCCGGGATATTTTGGCCTTTGCCCCAAGTCTCTCCCCCCCCCCCCCTCCACCCGCTTAGATCCGTCACTGGTCAACTGTTAGGTAAGTACAAACCTGGGAACTCGGATAGCATCAGGCATCCTTGCCAAAAAGGCTAGTTGACAGAGAAACGGCAACTATACATACAGCTGACAGTAGTGATTTGACTGTATATACCTTTTTGTGCGACCATCCTTCAGCCCAGACATCGTTGATTGCATGTCTGTGGACATGTTAATTGCTCAATGTATTGTTTGCAAATTGCAAACCACACTAACAAACACTCGGCTGAGAATACGACACGTAGTGACGCACACCTCCGCTGTGTGTGTCTCAGTCACCGTGGCTACCATGAGCAGGGGGCATGTCGGGCGGCCGCCGGTCGGTCGGTCGGTCATTTAGAGGTGCCACTGGTCGGCAGGGTCAGAGGCCGACGGTCGGCGGTCGCAGCCATGACCGCCCGGGTGTCGGTCGGACGCGTGCTCAAAGACACCGGCCGCCAGTACTGGGGCCGCACGGGCGTCGGCGGCCTCTCCAACGCCTACAGCGCCGATTGGCGACCGCAGCGGCTCATCTGGCTAGTGCTGTTCGCCATCGGGCTGGTGATGACGGTGATGGACGTGGTGGACGTCATCGAGGACTACTACGCCTTCCCGCACAGCACGCAGATGGAGGTGGTGTACGACAGGTCGGCCAACTTCCCGGCCGTCACCGTCTGCAGCCAGAGCAAGATCGACTGCCGCCGCCTGCTCAGTACCGCGCTCAGCGAACCCGACAACGGGCACATCAGCAAACTCCTCAAGTCGTTCCGCTGTTTGGATCCTAGTGGGCTGCAATGTCCATACATATGGTCAATAGTGGCTGGTACTGTAACGAGAAGCTGGCTAGCAGACAAGTCTGTTTCTTGCCTGGAATGCGAACAGTGCGAAACGCTACAAGAGCTGCTAGAAATGCTTCGCCGAAAAGGTGGTGGATCAGAGATGGCCGAAGACCTTGATTGGGTGTTTGGCTTTATTGGATGCAACACGACCTGCCCGCAGCCGAAAACGTTTACCGGTGGGGTACTGAGGTCAACAGGCGATACCGACGGAACGGCAGCATCGGCAGGCACGACGGACGATGGAACGGCTGGATCAACGGACACTGCCAATGATGGAACCGCTGGATCAACGGACACTGCCAGTGATGGAACGGCTGAATCCAAAGACACTGCCAGTGATGGAACGGCTGGATCAACGGACACTGCCGGTGATGGAACGGCTGGATCAACGGACACTGCCGGTGATGAAACGGCTGGATCAACGGACACTGCCAGTGATGGAACGGCTGGATCAACGGACACTGCCAGTGATGGCACGGCTGGATCAACGGACACTGCCAGTGATGGCACGGCTGGATCCAAAGACACTGCTAATGATGGAACGGCTGGATCAACGGACACTGCCAGTGATGGAACGGCTGGATCAACGGACACTGCCGGTGATGAAACGGCTGGATCAACGGACACTGCTAATGATGGAACGGCTGGATCAACGGACACTGCCAATGCAGACACTGCAGCTGGATCAACAGACAACACCGAAAGTGGAACAGCGAAATCAGCAGACACTGCGGACGGTGGGGTGGCTGGGTCAACAGACAACACCGATGTTGTGGCACAAAAGCTGCGGAGGAAGCGAGCCGTCATCGAAGCGGAGCTACAGGATTCAAATGTGAGAAGACAATTGACAAGGGAGCACGCACCCCAACGTTTAGTTATTATCGTTTACATGTCTAGCTCAGGTGTATTTTATTGCCCTTCTCCAGACACCGTCAGGATGCGCTTATCCCGTCCGTTGTTTACCGTCCATTTCTTACATGTGTATGTAGCACGCAAATCAGATACCTCCCTGACGGATAACAACCAGTGCGGTAGTCGTCAGTTTTTCGCTCTCAGAGGTGATTCATACAATGTCTTCGATTGCCAAGATGGTCATGTCAACGTAATGGGCCAATTGCCAGTCTGGTTCATTATGCCATTCAAAGTGAAGCGAAAAAGACTTACGCTTAACATTGCCGAATTGGATTTATTGGAAGTGCAACGTGTCGGCCATACAATGATTTCAATTTTCAATGAGTCGATATACGCCCTTTTCCCAAGCGAGCTGAACTAATTATGGGTCCCATTTTCAGGATCCAAGGTCTCGCGTGAGGAAGCTAGATCCGGGTGATTTCAAAGCGAGCAAGGCATACGACGAAGACATGCACAGATTAAACGAGTTTATGATGCTGTCGGAAGCTAAAAGAATAAGGATTGGCATAGCTTGGGAAGACTTCATCAAAGATTGTACTTACCTGGGCACGTCATGCAAAGATGAACTGTGAGTAACAGAGCCATAGCCACTCTTTTTTATATAATTCTTATTTGTTTACGCGTACCTGAATCTAGGCATAGGAGCTCAACTGCCATACATTATTATAACAACTATAATAAGCACAAGGATCAGACGTGGACGGAAACGTCTACATAAATTCACCTCTTGAAGCGCGATTTGGGAAGCACCGTTTTGTACTGTAAAATTCTATCAAAGCACATACTTCTTAAGAGTCAAGAAAGTTCCTAATTTTACCAACAGACAGTGGCAGATCCGGGGGGGGGGGGCAAAATGGGCATTTGCCCCTCCCAAACGGCATAATTTTAACATTACGCCTATGGATGAGGCATGGAAAGAATCGATGAATTGTTATGGTTTGCCCCCCCCCCCCTCCCAACTCTGAGCTGGATCCGCCACTGCCAACAGATTCAGCGTATATCCCTCGCCAGGCCAGGGGCGTTGATGCAACCACCCTAAGGTTTTCAGCCTAATCGAATGATGTGCGATATGATGGCCGGCCATGGTCACGCTTTTGCGACGCTTATATCTCAGCAACCACTTGACCGATTTATATGCGGTAATTTTATATTAGGCACAGTATATTAGGCACAGTAGAAACACGATGTTTGATTTATAGCCGTGCCTGGTGCTTAACGCCCTTCTTGGTTCTCGACGAGTGATGTGTACAAGTCCTGACTTTAAAACCTCTGCTTGCAGCCTGTTTCGAACCACATCTTCAGCCGAGTACGGGAACTGTTTCACGTTCAACTCGAACGTGACGGAGACCTCCGACCCCTTGGCCGGGGAGCGTGTTACTGGTCTAACGGGACAGCAGTACAGTAAGTGTGACACTGTCGGGAGCGTGTTACTGGTCTAACGGGACAGCAGTACAGTAAGCATGTGACACTGTCGGGAGCGTGTCACTGGTCTAACGGGACAGCAGTACAGTAAGTGTGACACTGTCGGGAGCGTGTTACTGGTCTAACGGGACAGCAGTACAGTAAGTGTGACACTGTCGGGAGCGTGTTACTGGTCTAACGGGACAGCAGTACAGTAAGTGTGACACTGTCGGGAGCGTGTTACTGGTCAAACGGGACAGCAGTACAGTAAGTGTGACACTGTCGGGAGCGTGTTACTGGTCTAACGGGACAGCAGTACAGTAAGTGTGACACTGCCGGGAGCGTGTCACTGGTCTAACGGGACGCGCGCTCTTGTCTTATTTATAGGTTCATTTTGGTGCTGGAACCTCGAAAGGCTCCTGCCTCAGCCTTCAGAAATCCTTTCACTGTTGACTGAGTCATGTCCGCCTCAGGCCTGGACCTGCTGTTGGACCTGAACCACCACACGTTCCCGCCGGTGACGGCCACGAAGGGGGCGCGCGTGCAGGTGCACCAGCCCGACCAGCAGCCGGATGTCGAGGACAGCGGGCTCAGCGTGATGCCCAACGTGGCCACCTCGATCGCCATCGAACAGGTGGGCGAACAGGTGTCAGCAGTGCTTAGCGGAACGGGTGGCGGAAGGAGTTGCTAAATGAAGAGAAAGGGACTGTCTTTACAACGATGCATTGTAACTAAGACGATGGATTGGTTTATTAGCCGGAGCCGCGACTGTGGACGTTGTTACGCCCTCTTATGTTTTTCGATTTCTTACTATACGGCGGCATCTATTGTAACCATTTATTAGAGGATGATAATAAAATATCAGCAGTTGTTTGGGGGAGCTGAGTAAGAAGCGGGTACCGTAAAAACGTCCCTTACCGATGTGCTACGATCAAACCACCGCCCAGGCGCGGGTTAATGTTTTTATGATTGATTGCTGATTGAATCATTTATTTGTTTTAAGCAATTGATGTCTCATTAATCACGCCATCTTCTTTCGACGCAAATCTACCGGAGGTATTGAAAATGAAATATGCATTTCAGGACTGTGTGAGCACGCTTCTTGTTACAGTGAAATTGTATGTGTCACTCCACAGTTGACGATTCAAAGGCTGCCATACCCATACAAGTCCCAATGCATCACAGCGTGGACGGACGCAGAATATGTGCCCGTGCCACCCACTGATGAGGACGTCAAAGAAAGCTACTCCACTACGGTACGAAACTAAAAACCTAAGAAAAAAATTATGAACTTCAATGATAGAACTGCTCTCGTAAAAAATCGGTCGACCACAAACATTTATTGATGAATGGCGTGCAGGCATTCGTTACACAATGTCAGATCGGCGATGATACATCTTTCGACAACTATTTTGTCATTTTAGGAATGTTTTTATCGAGCGACCGGTCTCCGTTCCAGCGCTGTCAGAAGATGTGCCTGCAGAGTCTGTTTATTGAGCGCTGCGACTGTCAGCACGCGAAATATCCGTCGCCGTTAACGTTCCGCAAACACGGGAAGCCGCTTTTGGAGAGAATACGGCCCTGCCTGCTCACAGTCAAAGGTGAGTCTAGGATAAAACGTGGATCATCGTTTTGCACCGCCTTTACATTTTTCTTCGAAATTTCCTTTGCTGTCTTGCGTTTGTGTTGACATGCTGATATTTTGGGCAAACACGCTTTTAAGAAACATCAGTAAGTTGAGCTATATCAGCTATAGACTCGGCAGCTAATCTGTATTCCTGACAGGGAACGACACCGAGTGCACCAACTCGATCCAGCAGAAGTTTGACAACGGCGACGTCACCTGTCACTGTCCGTCGGCCTGCTTCGAGAGGTCCTTCAACACGTTCCAGTCAATGGCCGAGTGGCCGCGGGACGTCTACCTGGTGAGTGCCGCACAACCTCGGCTGTCTATGGTAGTTACTGCCTCGTATTCTAGGAACTGAGCACACTTACTTTAATCTCAGGCATTAGTTATTGCTCTCCGCATGCACCGAAGCGGCTCTAATCCCTAACATTCGGTGTTCATGTTTTATGCGAGACTGTACATTTTTTAATTGTTCGACCATAATAATTTATGTAGTTTGTTTTCCAAACTGGTTTGTTGCATGTTGTATCGACTAGTCAGCGCTTTGGCCCTCCAACACAGATGATCGGACAATCGACAACGCCGCTTTCCAGCGATCGCGACTTCCGCTTCGCTACTAATCGAAGTAATTCTTATGTTTGCCCCTAGGTCGACGCTCGCTGTTTCGTGTTTGTTTGCTATTTGTCCACTGACTTTGACTAACGGACATTATTGATCTCTGTTGTTTGTTGATCTATCATCCGTTATGGTTTCAATCCTGTCCGTCTGCGCCATTTCACAAAATGCCGTTTACGAACGGATGAACGCAATAGTCAGTGGTACGTAAATACATCCGTCCCTCCGGCTATTCATGGCGACCGTAAGAGTTTATAAATGTTCTGGTAGGGCTATATCGGACATGTTTATGTAGTATGTATTATATACGTTTCGGTTGCAGCAGCTTACGGTTATAAATTATTTTTTGCCTTAAACTTGGAGATTTAAAATAACGTTAACCTTCGCCCCAGTGGGGGGGGGGGGCATATGTTACCACCCTGTAGCGTTTTTTGCGTGTGAATAAAAAACCGCGGCGCTTGGGGTAGCTTTTGGTACATCAATTTTGGACAATGTGTGAAATTTTTTAGCCCAGGTCATGTCAGGTCAGGTCACCAGGTCAAGTTAACTGACCAAGCCTAAAAAAGTTTGCAATCATGTCCAGCCTGCGGTGTTTGTCAGAAAGGATTTAAACTTGGTGGATTGCATGCTGTTATGGGCGCCTACAATTTGTATATCTCGGATTTTTTATATCCGTGACCTAAGGTCAGGTCAGTGGCGTGACCTTTCCATTACAAGTCAACGGAGAAAAATGAAAATGCCTCTAGATCCGTGTGTACGCATAGGAACAGTTCAAATATTTCAGAATCACAATGATTTAGTCCACCCGTGATGACCAAGGTGTCATTTTTGCTTGATAGCCTCTAGAAAGGTCATCCGAGGTCATTTGAGGCTACAGTTTTTTGCCAATAACTCGCGATTGGAAAGAGATAGAACGCTGGGGATGGTCTCATTGTGTTTGTCTTGTTGAGACGCATCGACTGACTGACCTTGACCTGAGGTCAAATTTTCAAGTTGACCTTTTAAGGTCAAATTATAGTTCATTCGACGCGTCTCGGCGAGGGGAACACGATTCTGGCAATAGAAATGTCGTGGCTTTTTGTAGTCAAAAGTTATTGTCGAAAGACACTTTTCGTAAAAACAGCTATTTTTGCAGTTTTTGCCCTCTGGAGCCTGGAGGCTAAACCGTTGACCTGAGGTCAATATTGATAAAAAACCTTTTCAAAAGAAGAGTTCAAAAGCTATCGATTCCTCTTCGCTGCGTTTTTCTAGCTACCATAGTTCCTGAGATAGCGGCATGTTTTCTGAAAAATATAATGACAATTGGCAAATTTTGACCTTTAATGACCTCTGATGACCTCAATATTGCTCTAAGGTGAAAAATGACCGAAGTACTTTCAAACGTACGCATTGAGAGCTATCGACTGCTTTTTACCGCGTCTTTCTAGCCCTCTTAGTTTTTGAGTTAGAGGTGGGTAGTAACATATGCCCCCCCCCCCCCCCACTAGGGCGAAGTTGGCTGAGACCGCCACTGGGGCGCGGGTTAATCGAGTATTCCGTTGTTCTAACCTATCAATCGAAGAAGCAGGAAGCATCATGGCATACTGCCGTAAAAGTCTCACACCACACATCAATTCCAATGTCCTCATAGTGCATATTTGTTCGCTTCAGTGCATGCCGTTTTAGGTATCTACGGCTGCAGACATGCATCATTTCGCTAACCAAACATTAGCCTCGCCCGTTATGTTTCAAAATATGCCAATGGTGCCGTACAATTTACAAAATTATCCCCTCTAAATATGCAAAGATCACTGCATCGAAATTATTGCAAAATAATGAGTTAGAGTGCCGTCAAAAATGCTATGTAAACGCGACTATTGATAAGCGTCTGTAATCAATCTCGCCCGCGATGTGAACAGAACTCCGACACCACAGACACTCCCCCGCGCTGTGACGCCGCCCTGCTGTGTTGTCCCGTCGGTGGCTATGGTCCCCGCGGTACTGACAGACGCGTGGGACCCCCGCGCTGGGTCAAACGCAGTTCACACATGACCGTCAGTCTGTCGGTGTCGGGCCCGTCACCGTCGACCTGACGGCCTGCAGCCCGTCAAACGAAAGTTGAGATTTGGTAGCTCCCGTTGGCTGCCATATGTTGTGACAGAAATGGCGCACCATTTTCGAGATTGACGCAGATGGGGGAAGGGGATGGGGAGACGGTAGAGGCCGAGAGGTTAAAAATATTCTTTGAATTACAGAAATAAAATTACATTTTTATGTCAAATAATGCTGCAATTTAATTTAAATGAAAGACACATCGGTTCGCTGATTTAAATCAGGGATCGAATCTCAAGATATCGTGCCGTAATAAACACTTTCATCTCAACAAATGGATGGAAAATGGTACAAATGATCTTAAAAATGCATATAAGCTTCATGCTGCATGAGAAGGTTCCTTTTCCTCTTCCTCCAACACGCAGACATTCAAACCGACGGGCCCGTCACCGTCAAAAGTTGAACATTGCTGAACTTTCCAAAGCGACGGCCGTCAGGTCCGGCGCCGGCGCAGTCAGCTGTTGCCGGCCGTCAAACGCTGCCGGTTCACACATGCCCGTCGACCTGACGGCCGTCACTCCGTCGGTTTCGGCCGTTTTGACGGTGTCGGGCCCGTCACCGGCAGACCTTACGGGCAAGTGTGAACTGCGTTTCAGGGTCACCCGAGCCCTCCCTGCGCCGCTGGGCTGGCGTGCCCGCCATGCGTTCGGTCATTGATGGCGCTGGTTTAATGACCCCGGTCGGTTGGCTTGGTGTGTAAATGCGAGTAGGTGTCGGTGCTGTGGATATGCATAATTGGTGGGAATGTGTCGTCAATTCGTCACGTCAAGCGACATGTGTGTGCATGTGTGGGTGGGGGTGTGCGCTAGCGCATCTAATACCCCACCCCAGCGTTTTGTTTAAATGTCTTAGGAGCACTTTCACAGAACGGGATACAAATTAACCGACTAATTAGCTGCTCATACATTGCCATTTATACGATTGACTGTTGACAATAAGGAATATGCATTCAATGTCTCGAGGCATGGTTACCGATTCCCAAACGCTTTTTTTTTACAAAGTTCGAGGCGCGTACAGCTGGAAAGTTAAATCAATCGCTCTTCAATCGTAGTTAATACTGATGAACACCCGAAGGTTTACCGACCGAGAATTTTGGAATAGAGACAGCTTAAGAGTACCAAGGCACCACCGAGCATGACCCTGATGAATGTTCTACAAGATTCTAATTGGGTTCGACAGATCGAAGCGGCCAGTCAGATGGGTATCGACATCAGGGGACTGACACCTGATTCCCGGAAAGAGCTGGCCTCCAACATACTCGAGATTAAAGTGTTTTTCAAGACTCTTAACACTGCGGCTCTCACCCAATCCGAGTTTTATACGGTAGGTGATCATTTGTTGTTGTTGTTGTTGTTGTTGTTGTTGTTGTTGTTGTTGTTGTTGTTGTTGTTGTTGTTGTTGTTGTTGTTAAAATTATTGCTGCTGTTTTGGTCAACAGGGTTTAAAATGACCTCAATAGGTAAGTACAGTCCACAGCAGAAGTAATGTATGGTTTCAGTCATGGGTATGTTCTGCTTCTGAAGCCTAGGAACGATCAGCCAGACTGCAACGAGACTTTAAATGTAGCTTACATGTATCTTCACCCTTGCAGCTATAACTTTATCTATTGACGTCTTCTTTTCAATCAGTCCGCATTTAAAAATCGTCGGTCAAAGCCATCCGTTGAGATTGGTAAAACCACACATTACTTTAGCGGTGGGCTGTACCTACTTGACGCGCTTTGAGGTCCCAATGCACCATTGCTGTTGCTGATATGTCTTATCGCTTATTTTAATAACATTAAAACAGATTACAAATGTAGGAGTGAAAAAGGAAGGCCTCGTCAGTGTTTCTTTTTTTACCTCATGATTTCTGTCTAGTGTCTACAAGGAAGTGAAACAAAGTAAAATAAAATGTAAGCATAGATACTTCATAGTTCGGCTCTCGGTGGATGTGTCAAGCCTTATTCTCTTATCGTTTGCAGTATAGTTCCTTCTTCAGCAGCCTAGGAGGTGCCATGTCACTTTACCTGGGCATCTCCATCATAATGGTGGCTGAAATTCTCGAGTTCCTATGCCTGCTGGTATGGAACCTGATACGCATGGCCAGGGGAAGCTACGTCTCACCCGACGTGTCGGGTAAGCGAGTGCAAGGAAGCGGCGTCAGACGTCAGGGGCATGTGTATGGGGTGGTGTAAATTTTATGATACTTGTGTTAATGTCATATACCTAAATGTCATATGCTACCCAGCACAGCGAACATAAAAATTGACTGTAATTTCAAGTTCCCCTGGTAATGTAAATAAGTCACTGAGCGTAAACTTAAAGCTTTACATGCTACATTATATCCGCACATCAACACTGTTTTCCTTTTTTAACGAGGCATCCATATTCCATATCTAGCTTTGATATTGTTCTGCCTTCAGACTTGTTTTCAGTAAAACATTTGAATGAAATCGTAAAACTTTTACCTTACTCATCACAGCAAACATTTCACTCTCATGATCTCTCCCATCGCCTAGCGTTAAACGGCTGGTAGTGTGTATTGTGACGGAGCATTGAATGCCAGCGAGTACCGTGAGTGTTTCATCCAAAGGGTCGCGAAGCTGACCTCTCCTTTCGTCTCGTGTTCCAGGGACCGGCGACAGAGCAAAGGTCGGTGATGTCAAGAAAGTGGCGATCCGACCAGACGGTGTGGAAATTACCTACATCGGAGACACCCGGGTCCCAATGACGAAACCGATCTATTCTGCTGCCACATAGGCAGCAGAAGAGCGTCTCGAATGCAAATAGTGAATTAGATATCAATTATATATTTTCATCTTACTGCATTCAAATTTAGCCGGAAATCTTTGAATGGACTGGTGCAAGGTCCGCGCCATCAGCCATTTTTGGTGATTTTCATTTCAAGAGTTTGTATGTAGTGTGTGGCTGTGTGCATTGTGCAATTGTGTCTATTACATTCTGTATTAGATCTGTATTGCATATACTTAAATTACCAGCTGAGCTTGTCTCAGCTGAGTCAGTAATGTATCCCTAATTCAACCTTGCGTAGGCGATGGGCCCCTTCAGCCCCCTCTGAGGCGTATATGTCGTGGTCCCGTGATCGCTGAAACGCTTTCACGTAGTCGATTAGCAGTGGCAAGGACATGTAACGTTTATTTCGCACGCAGCCATTGGCCGCTTCATAGTGCTTTACGGTACAGTGCCTTACTTGTCAGTCGATTTTATTACCGGAATGTTAATGTCAGGTACTATGAACTCTTTGTTCAAGTGCGCGCACAATTATTTCTCTGCATGACTGTGTAGTGTATAATTCTGTATATGCCTTGTTGGGCAGTTAAAACCATATGCAAGTCAGAGTGGTCGTTTAACCACATTCGGTTGTGCGTATTTCGCCGTACATGTCGCGTGTTATACAACCACCTGAATCATTTATGTAGAAATAACCTTATCCGACCTCATGCTACAGTTTGGCCGCATTGCGAGCAATTTACGATTAACGGAAATGAAATATGTAAATATACATATGAATATATAAGCATATAAACATACAAAATATATTAAGGCCAGCCCTCGCTTGGCTGGACCGCACCATTTTTGATAGTCGAGTTCAACGTCGTATAAGAGGTCGAGTTATGTCGGCTTTATCGACGGAAGCCAACAGTGACATCCAGAACGTTTTGCTTGTCATTTCTGTTGCAAGTTTCATCTGCTATATTGTTGCGGCATGGATGAATTATTGCCTCTGGAACATGTATGTTTACTCCCGGTATCTGTTGATGAATTTGTGGTGTGAATAAATTTCAGTATTCATGTAAAAACATACCTAATAATTCCGACGAGTTATCAGGCAGATGACCTGGAACTCATACGGCACGAGCAAGCAATTAGTGCAACCCTAGCTGATAGCTGCTAAGAGACACACTGAACCTGATTTGACCAAATCTGCACCTAATCTGTACCAGATGTGCACCAAATGTGTACCAGATGGCCGTCGTGAAAACGGCTAATATTGTTCAAGCGTGCATCTGTTGAGTTATGTCACGAATCTGATCACTCTTCACTCTTCAGATCTTCAATCACAACGATCCATCCAAAAATACCACTGCCCATTTTCTGCTAGTTACTATTTCTGCTAGAGTTTTTTTTTATAGTACAATTGCGATATGCGTTGTTGATTTAGACGCACGACTAGACGATAGTAGTAAGAGACTACTTGTAGAAATAGCACACTGCTTTTACAGATAAATATGAATGCCGATTGTCATAATAATCAGAATGATATGTTCTATTCATCGTTGCACAATGCGTATATTGCAGCATCGGAAAAACAGGCTATCACCCAGGCCGGAAAAACGTTTGGTAGGCGATTCGTCCAACCCCGACTTTTTGCGATTGCCCATTCAAGACGAGTTACATATCGACGTGAAATTTAATCAATCTGGTGTTTGATTCCAGCCAGCCCATTTATTTAGCACTTGCCTGGATAATTCCTATTCAGGCCAAGTCAGATCGTGACGCAATGCACAGATTCTGCACGGTCCAGAAATGTCATAATTTTATTGAGTCATTAGATGACTACGCTTACAACTCCTGAGCCCATTCAAAGGCCGAAGGACATCTGCTGGCGGCCGGAACACCAGAGAAGCAACTACAACTGGCAGAACTTGCGTTGTGAAGCTTACATCTCAACAGCTGGAAGCATCCGTGTTTGATACCCGCACAATCTTATGATGAATTTTAGCATTAAGAGCTTTGTGTGTCGTCATTTACGACGTTAGGACGAAAACCATTTGAGGTCATCAGTGTTTTCGTAAATAGCTCCCAGTCAAGATAAGTTAAAAAGGGACACTCCCACCTTAACATTAGTTTTGAGTTGAGATAGCCAAATTGGTGGCCATGGCCTGCAAATACCGGTTTGGGCACTCACAACATCGACAAATGCTTTAACCCGCGCCCTGCTGGGGGGGGGGGTGTTTGAACACCCCCCCTTGTGGTTTTTCGTGAATATCTCAAAAACAGCGGCGCGGAGCGCCGCCGTTTTTGGTACACCTTATCATACATCAATTCTACACATGTTGTGAAAATTTCAGACCAAGGTCATTCAAGGTCAGGTCACCAGGTCACTTGAAGTGACCTCACCTCATAAAAAGTTTCAATGTCTGTCATAGCTACACCGAGTGACCGATTGCTTTGAAACTTTCAGCGATTGCTAAGAGCAATAGCATGTACAAAATGTATATCTCAGAATTTTGATATCGATGACCTAAGGTCAGGTCAATTTTGCGACCTCCCCATTATAAGTCATAAACACACCCAGCTATATCCGATCAATCATACCGGACACCCGCTCACAAAGGACAGGAAGAGACTTGCGAAATCGCAGCAACCACACAATCCAACCACACCGCACCGCATCCTACCAATCCTCATTCTTTCTATCAACAGCTAAAACATGGAACCACCTCCCAGAATCATTAAGATCCTTGTCTCAAACATCCTTCAAAAAAGAAATCCTTCAGCGACTAGGGGTGCCCAAACCCCCAGACTACTACAAAATTGGCTCTAAGACCGGAAATATTTTACATACCCGATTAAGAACTGATATGTCTTGCTTAAACTCACATCTATTTCAAATAAACAAAACAGATACGCCTGAATGTTCTTGTGGTCATTTCAAAGAGGATGTACGTCACTACGTACTATTCTGCCAAAATTATGATGCCCAAAGAAAAGAACTAATCGATAACGCTTCTCGTATTCTCGGAGAGAATTTTGCAAACTATTCACCTGACCGGAAATTCAACATGCTAATTCACGGAGATCGCTTGAGTGGCGAGGGCAGTCGTGATATGGCATACATCTTCCAAACCTTTTTAACTAAGACAAGCAGATTTTCGAAGTAATCAATTGATTTATTCAAAATTTCATCATGCGATCCCGTGAGCTAGGCGGCTGTTGGAACCATCAAAATTTACCGCTCATGAGCGACTGGCCAGCGGCGGCGGCGGTTGTTTCACATGTTTTATCTTATGTTTCAGAGTGGTGCCTCGAGTCAAGCGATTGCGCTTTTGCACCACTCTGCTATCACGCTTATGTTGTTAATTATTGTACTGTATGTTTCATTGATTATGCTTTATTTCTTATGTATGTTTGGTTCCTTAATAAACATTGTGTGTGTGTGTGTGTGTGTGTGTGTGTCAATGGGAGAAAATTGAAATGCGCCTCTTTTGGACGAAAGACATCATAAACACTCCCAAACACCGAATTACAAGTGGTTTAGACACACTGAACATGAAAATGGTGTCCGTGACCCTTGTTTATGCCCTGAGGTCATCTTAGGTCACGAATGGTATCTAACAGTTTTTCGCAAATAACTTTTGATAGAGGCATGCTAGAGCGATGAAAACGCCTTAGATGTGTTCAGCTCGACGATACGGATCGACTGATATGCAACATGACCCTTTCCGGTCAGGTCATGACCTTGACCTGAGGTCAAATTTTCAAGTTGACCTTTCAAGGTCAAGTTATAGTTCATTCGATGCGTCTTAACGAGAGGAACACGATGCCGGTAAAAGTAAGCTCGTACAGGGCTTGGGTAAAAAATTATTGCAGAAAAACTGTTTCCGAAAAAATCGGCTATTTTTGCAGTTTTTGCCCCCTGCAGGCAAAACCGTTGACGTTAGGTCAAATCTGAGAGAATTACTCAGAAAGGGCGTTAATAGGGCTATCGAATGCGCTTTTTCGCGGCGCTGTAGCTCTATTTGTTCCCGAGTTATGCGTTGGCTTCTTGGAAATTTTCGACATTCGACCTGGAAATCGGCGAAGTTTTGCCTTCAATGACCTCTGGTGACCTGACCTTTGACCTGACCAAAAAATGGACCCAAGTGATTTCGTCATTATTTTTTACGCTCTTTCGAACGCCGCCTTCCGCGTATCGCTACGTGGCCCAGGAGCCGAGTTACAAGGGGGGGTGTTCAAACACCCCCCCCCCCCCAGCAGGGCGTGGAAATCCAGGACCCCCAGCCGGGCGCGGGTTAATTCGGAGATATGGAATTTCAAACTTGCAGTTTTCGGATTCTAAGGGGCTAGTGCATTGGTATGCCCCCTTAGAATTTGTGACGTCAGCGGAGATCTAACGATTTTTAAATCTTTTACTAAAACGTTTGGTAGCACGCGGTAGTATATGCTGCTTTGCGCGCAACAAATGCCGCACTTTCAAATAAAGTCGCTAGGAACAGCGGAGATCCCAAAAAGTAAACAAAAGTAAAAGTCTAATATCTTGAAAACCGGTGAATATTTTTTGATGAAATTTGGTAGATATTCGTTTTCGCTCTTTCTGAACCGAGCGACATCACTTTCGTGCCAATTCATAACTTTTTTGAAGGTGGGAGGGTCCCTTTAATGCATAGCATGACCTCCTCGGTCAAATTACCTGACCTGACCGGAGTTTACCTGAGCTTAAAGGGACCCTCCCACCTTCAAAAAAGTTTATGAATTGGCATGAAAGTGATGTCGCTCGGTTCAGAAAGAGCGAAAACGAATATCTACCAAATTTCACCGAAAAATATTCACCGGTTTTCAAGATATTAGACTTTTACTTTTGTTTACTTTTTGGGATCTCCGCTGTTCCTAGCGACTTTATTTGGAAGCAATAGTTTGGCAGCTGAAAGTGCGGCACTTGTTGCGCGCAAAGCAGCATATACCACCGCGTGCTACAAAACGTTTTAGTCAAACATTTAAAAATCGTTAGATATCTGCGCTGACGTCACACATTCAGTGGGGTATTCCTATGCATTAGCCCCTCTGAATCAAAATGCTGCAATTTTGAAATTCAATATTTCCGATTTAAGGCATTTCTCGATGTTGTGAGTGCCGAAACCGGTAATTGTGAGCCAGGGACCCCATTTTGGCTATCTCAACTCAAATCTAATGTTAAGGTGGGAGGGTCCCTTTAACTTGACCTTGAACAGTATGTGGACAAGACATAAATCGATGAACCCAAATTTAGCACGTTGTGATCATTTTCGATCGTATAAATGTCATTCCCTTTATTCCTCAATGATCACCAGTTGACCTCAGACGTTAAAATGTGGCATACCTACCACTCGCAGGTTTCATGACGACCGATAGGAATGAACTATCAATCGATACTAGAATCTCAATCTAAGATGTTGATGAAGCATTGATAGATCTTGCGTGGTTCCTAAGTTTAACCCAACATTTCATCTTCATGATAATGTGAAATAGTTAAATGTAGTTTACTCTTGCAAAGCACAGTCCTTATCGAGTATTTACAGCTTTATCTTTGCCTATCTGACATGAATGGCATAACTAGAATTTTTATATGCAAAGTTATGCACACATGCAAACCTCAATGCGTTCAACTTAATCGAACTACGGTTGCATAGTTTTAAACCACAGGCAAATGAAAGTCATCAATCATAGCAGGCCAGGTGTTAATGATGGATCAATGTTGAAACTGCTCGCAGGGCCGTTTTTGCGGCCTGTTTACGGTCTGGGTGCATATTTAGCGCCGGTGCCGGTGTGGGCCGCGCCGCCGATGGGGGCTCCCGGCGAGTGCGTCGGCCATTGATCTCCTCCCAGTTCGTTGACCGGCCTGACCGCGATCCGTAGCGCGACTTTCCGCACTTTGCGCGTTTTCCACCCACATGATGTGCCTGACCCCCATGCCGGCCTGGGGCTGGTATAAATGCTCAATGGCATCGACGGAGGGCAGCAATTCATAGGCAGGCAGACAGACAGGCAGTTCAGAGTCCAGTGCGCCTGCCGTCTGCCATGTCACCGCTGCAGCTGAGCACACTCTGTGCCTGTCTGGTGGCATCCACCGGCTTCAGTCTGAACCCGCTGAATCCGCTGGTAAAGCGACTGCTGTCTCCTTACTCAGCACCAGTGCCACCCAACTGGCTGCCCGAGCAGAAGCGTGCTGCCATGGGAGCCATGGATGACGATGTCTTCGGCATGCCTTTGTCTCCCGAGGACTTCGCCAACGCCGCCAGCATTGCCGACGACGCGCCCAAGACCGGGCCTGGCATGGAGGATCCCATTGAGATGGCCGGCCTGTTCGAGGGTGACATCGCCCACATGGACAAGGACATGATGATGGCCGTAATGGACAGCGAGCTGGCCTACGACGGGGAGGACAACATGGTCTTCCGCAACGCCATCCGTGAGGACAGCAGCCTCTGGCCGAACGCCGAGATTCCCTATCTCATCTCGTCCAGCTACTCCAAACACGAGAGGGCCGTCATCGCCAAGGCGGTGATGGCGTTCGAGGACAACACGTGCATCCGCGTTGTGCCGCGCACCACGCAGAAGAACTACATCCACGTGCGGAAGGGCTCCGGCTGTAGCAGCGCCGTCGGTGTCATCGGCGGCGCCCAGGAGCTCTCGCTTGCTGACGGGTGCGTCTACCCTGGAGTTGTAATGCACGAGTTCATGCACGCAGCCGGCTTCTGGCACGAGCAGAGTCGCGGCGACCGCGACGACCACATCGTCATCCACTGGAGCAACATCATCTCCGGCATGGACTACAACTTCCACAAGTACCCGTGGAGTCGCATCCAGCACCTGGACGAGCCGTATGACGTGACCTCCATCATGCACTACGGGCCGTACGCGTTTGCCGCCAACCGCAAGAAGCCTACCATCACACCAATCAAGGCCACCAACCAGATGGGACAGCGTAACGGCTTCTCCGCCATCGATATCCGCAAGCTGAACAAGCTCTACAAGTGTCAGGGTGGCGGCGGAGGCGGCGGCGTTACAGTTAGCACGACTGAGGCGCCTAAGCCGGCCTCCTGTGAGGACAACAATAAATGGTGCAGCGCCTGGAGCGACCGCGGCGAGTGCACCAAAAACCCCGTCTGGATGAAGGTCAACTGCGCCAAGTCCTGCGGCACCTGCAAATGTAAGTAGCCCCGCCAGCCCGGCAATATTGCACTCGTTTATGCTTGCCCTACCTAAAAGTATGCCATTACTGTTGACTGTCAACCAGCCTTAACATAACATTGAATGGGAACACATTTTTTAAATCAGTTTTGACTATGCTGAGTTTTCTAGCATCTGCGAACTAAATACTCTTGTGCTAATCCTGCGCAAAAAAATAAGCATTTGAACGTTTAACGCACTAGAAATGGAATATATCGTTATTTGCATGCGATGTGCTAGCATGTTATAGGAGACAAAATTAGATTATCTTAGTGTACACAATAAACGTAAACTTAAGCCTCAGCACATTCATCAGTAATATTTACTTCTGTCGGACTCACCGAGCTCTGTATTCTCAGCCTGCTCGGATCACAACGCCTACTGCTCGTCCTGGGCGCGCAACGGCGAGTGTGCCAAGAACTGGAGCTACATGAGCGTCTACTGCCGCGACTCGTGTGGCCTGTGTCTCGACAGCAGCGGGGCCACACCCAGCACCTGCATCGACAACAACAAATACTGCACCGCCTGGGCCAAGGACGGTGAATGCACCAAAAACCCCGCCTACATGCTGAAGGACTGCAAAAAGGCCTGCGATGCCTGCTAAGCGGCGAAGCTGCTACACATGAAATGAACACTGACGTGAATTTTAAGGGAATGGATCTTGACTGACAAAGACGGTAGGGCACACTGGGAAGTCGTCATAGATTGTTGTTGTTAGAAGTGTTCTACTGTTGTCTGTTGCACGTTTGAGTGTCTGAAATACGCTGGACATGGATGCACGTTTTACTGTCTGGGAATAAGTATTCAGGGACATGCAGCGTGTGTGATCGGTGTATGTAAATAGGCTTGTTATTGTACGATGGTATGGTATATTTAGTATGGTAAGCGGTACTTGTTTTTTACTTTTTTACCGGGATGTTTTCTTGGAGTTGAATAAATCAAGCTAATGGTTGTGGTACACATTTACATATGTATGTTGTATAGCAACTATGAAAGGCAGAAAACCAGTATATTTGCTCGTTTATTGACGGAGAAACATGAGAATGGGACTTTAACGGACAATTTACACTCTGGACCTAATTCGCTTCAGCTGCAGTATCAGCAGCCTCAAAATATAAGAACGCTGAGATCTATCCCAGGCACCCAAGATTCAGTTCCGAATGGATCATCAGAGCCCATTATGGTGGCAGATGTCTTGCTGACAACTTGGTCCACAACATTGTGAATCGGACAAATGACGTTCGACTTGATTTTGTTCGCAATCGAATTTTGCTGGTCGTTTCTGTTCGAGCACAGTCCTAGTGCCAAACAAGTTGTTCTTCTTGATTGACTTGGATTGCAGAGCCTGCTTCCAGATAGATATACAGTCAAAAAGATAAAGCTGATCACCAAAATGGTAAAAAGCTTGTAAAACACAGGTTTGTAGGACATCAGTCGATAGTTCGCTAATATTTTCTTTAACGGCGAAATGTCGATAGAAAGCTGAGGCATCTTAAATTTGCGTGATGGCGTTGGGGCTACGGGTTTCAATGTAGGAGGATCAACCTTAGATGCCTCTAGTTTCATCACCGGTTCCACATCCTTTGAAGGCACAGCTGGGGTGCCCTCGGCTTCGTGTAGAGCCATTTGTGCGACTGTGGTGACATGATCCCCGCTGAAAAGGATAAAAGGTATATAAATGACAAGTTACTGGAGACGCTTGTGTGCCTCCCTTTTATCTTTTTACATTCATACAGAACAAAGCCCCGTTTAATTAAGCGCTGTTGTCAACCATCGTCAACCTTACCTGCTTTTCTCCTTTTCGCTTTCGCATGCGTGGACAAATTTGTCTCGGAAGTTTTTGTCTGTCGTTAGCAAGCCAATTACTTGATCATAAAGTTTTACTTTGAGTTTGTCTCTGGACTGTAATTTTTCCATTATGTTATCAGTTAAGTGGCTAATTGCTAAAATCTTAAGTTTTTTTTAATTATCCTATCGCAAAGACCACAAAGTATAATTTCGATGACCGTTTAAATTTGAAATCTCGAGAACTGCATGTGCTGACGAAATCATTATACCTCCTCCGCTTAAAATTTTTCCAGGAATCTCTATGCTTTTGAGCCAAATTATATTTGTGCCGAATTTTGTATCTGTGCCAAATATATTTGTAGAAGGATGGCATGTGTGCCTGTATATATTGTACCTACGTGATGGACTGGCACGGGCTTTGAATTGAAATTTAATTTGCATTTCTTATAGAGTTTTTAGTTACTCTTAATTTGAATAGGCTATAAAATTATTAGGCTTCAGGAGCCGGGAGACATAAGTCATTTGTACCGGGTAGGTGTAAGCATTTATTGTGAAAAAGTCTCTTTATTCCTTATAAACTAATACATATAAAACTACAAGAGAAATATGATTACACACCACTGATAAAATACATTTTTGACGCGTTAATTAATTAGCTATTCGATGTGTGAGAGCAAAGAAACGTTGGTGTTTTGTATGTAAACAAGCAAATGTGACTTTTTATGACGATAAACATATTCATCTCGTTGCGTTTCCTTGTAAGCCCGCTGTTTTTAGTAGCTGAGCTGACGGCACCGACGGAACAGTGGGACGCTTCAGCACAAAGCTGTACAATATAAACACGTTGGTAAGTCTGTTTATAAGATTCGAGCCAGCTGTGTTGGGCGCTCTGGCTGTGGCTTGGTCACACTGCTAGCGCGACTCAGTACATTCACACGCTGTGAAACATCTCTGTGCTGTGGGTGGGAGTCTGACAACTGTGTTGCCTAGAAATATCCCGTGATGCTACAGGTAACCTATATGTCAAAGGTGTCTTGGCCTATTTACGAAATATGGTGATATGAAATACTACTGAGTACCTTTATCGCAACCGATGCGCGAGTTTGTGACAAATATCGATAAACATGCTGTGTCACTGTCTCTCTTTGTAAATACCTCATCACTCTTTTGTAGCCCGAGTTGGTCAGGCAGCTCATGGTGGATAGTTGAGCGCTGAAATAGATTTAGTATTTTGGTGCAAAGGAATGCCGATGCTACTCTTCCCATTTTAGACAGAAGTAAAAGACAGAAGTATGCACTTCCATTTTCTCAATTGTTATCTATCATTTAACTCATAATTAACTGAATTGGTCCACTGGTCATAGTCCTAGGTGTGTGCTTAAAATCATGCGAACTGCGCAGTGCGCATTGATAACCGTGTACAACCAACAAAGCTCAAAATATATCGGAATTAAGGCGTTTCATTGGTAGCGATCGCGAAAAAATAGAGGTAGTAGGGATACTTAGCGTGACAAGACGAGCTATTTCAACTGACTTTATTCATGTGTCTCAGCAATACAGTGTTTGCAGTGTTTTGCATTGTGTTTAGCCTCGTTGTAAGCAGGCACTTCGATGTTTACTGTCTCAAATTTATGCTGGCACTGCGACGTTTGATGTCACCTGTCCGAACGCTATGTTTGGCGCCGTCTTTCAGCCGCTATGGACGGTTCTGGGGATCATCTGTCTCCGTGGCGGAATGGCGCTCGGTGACAGAGGGCCCAGCAGTGCCGAACAGCCGCCAAACATAATTATCATTGTCGCCGATGACCTGGTGGGTGTGTTACTTCAGTTACGAACTATGTCTACTCGTCAGAGCGATCGCCTATAGCCAGGCCTTTGTTTAGAGGGAAATTGCGCCCTTGTACTCAAGAACCAACAATATTTCACGGTTGTGTTGTTTATTGCGTGGTCATGAATAGAGCCGAAGCAGCATTCCGCTGTCGTATAAGTTGATAATGAGCAAATACGGCTCTTTGAAGTTAGCCGGCCTAATTCTGGCAGCTGTAGAACGCAAGTCATTTTATTCATGAATAAACTCTGTTTTAGGCATATACTCAGCCTTCAAATCTCATATGATTGCTTAGAGTGGGTATAGGTAGCTGCGCTACTGGCATGCCAATCCACTATGCCTTCTGACACCCACCGGTGTCGGTTGCGCCGACCGGCTCCAGGGCTGGAACGACGTCGGATTTCACGGCTCCAACCAGATCCCGACGCCCAACATCGACGCGCTGGCATTCAGTGGGGTGATGCTGAACCGGTACTACGTGCAGCCCATCTGTACACCGTCCCGGTCGGCGCTGATGACCGGCAAATACCCCATACACACCGGTCAGTGCAGTCACAAAATACCCTACATATCGGCCAGTGCAGTCACAAAATACCCCATACACACCGGTCAGTAGTCTTACCGTATGTAATATCGCCGTGCGTGATCAGATGATAATAACTAGCGCGATGTTGATAAGTGGATGATTCAAACCTGCCACCTGAAAGTACTTAATTTCTTCCTCCACAAGCCGCCTCTGTCACTCGTTTCTTCCGCCAGGTATGCAGCAGAACGTGATTCTGGCCGCCCAGCCCTACGGCCTGGGCCTTGAGGAGACACTAATGCCGGAGAGACTGAACGCCCTGGGATATGTGTCCCATGCCGTCGGCAAATGGCATCTTGGCAGCTACAAGTAAGCACTATCAGCCTAATGATTCATGCTTATCGTTTTCAAATAATGTCTAAGATCTTTATGTAATTTTTCATGAAGCGAAATGGTTCGAAGCTTGTGTTTGTGTGCTTACAGTTTAAGCTCAATCACACATGCGGCGATAGTGACATACTCCTTACTATCCCTCGCATTGGTATACGATATTTAACTGAATTTGGATTCAACTAATCTAAAGCTGTGGGTGCGAAGTAGCAAAATCATAAATATGGCTTTGATCGTTCGTTTGCCATGTTATCGCCGTTTCTTTTTAACCAATCTAGTGAATATTTTTAGGAAAGCATACACTCCGACCCAGCGCGGCTTCATGTCCCACATCGGATACTGGAGCGGAAAGAAAGACTATTATGATCATACCAATCAAGAACATGTAAGTCTAACATTGGCGCTACCATGCTTATGCCATTTATAAGCTTGTCCATTCCCATTACCAAATCATATAAAAACGCATATGTCGCGTTCCGCTGACAAATAAGAGCGCGTATTTCAGCGTGTTTTGTCTAATTTTACTCCGCCTCGACCAGGAAAACAACATAAAAGTATACAATTTGAACAAATAGAGATTAGTATTTAGGGCACATTTGCCCGATAATTCCAATAGGAGAAAGTGGATAAATCGGTAGCTATACGAGTAACGCATTTATTGCCAATTACTATCGTACACATGTGTTGCCGTCAGGTTTTACATATTTTAAATGTATTGATTCATATATCTTTATGCAAGTGAATGGCTCCAGAAGTTAAAAAAAAACTCGGCAGCGGCTTTTTTATGCAGGCCGGATCAATCATTAAAGAAGTGAACGGTAGACTGTACGGACCACGCCATAACCTCTCGCAATTTACCTTACTCGACAATCAAACGCAACATTTGAAAATAAACAGGAGGTCGTAGAAAAATAAATTACTTACGCTTATGACAGAGTTAATGTATAATTTCTTTCTTATTTGATAAAATGAAGTAAATGAACGATTCTGGAGAGTCTGTGCCAGCACGGCTAAAAGCGAGCTTCAATTTTTGCCGGACGTCGGCGGTCGGACAGACACCGCCCGCTGATCAGACCCGGCTCGCGGGCAATAAGTAGACGGTCCCTACTTCAGAACGTAAATAATAGTAGTGGTTTTCTCATCTATAGTACCATGTCTGAAATGGTCAAATAGCTTTAGTGGAGCAACAGCACGCTACCACGGAAAAAGGTAATTTGCTTAGCGCCGCCAATCGCCGTCCTTACTCTAACAACATTCAAATACTCGTACTTAACTAAATTCAGCTACGTACAAATTCAAATTCATATAAATGTTAGCCATCCACTTGAAATCATAGCCAGTCATGCAAATTTCCTTACAGAAAAGCCTACACGCCTACATACCGTGGCTTCCAGAGTCATTTTGGCTACTGGACGGGCCGAAAGGACTATTTTGACCACGTTTGTGTGAGGGTGAGTATAATTCAGCCATGTGCTTACGAATTATTTGTCTCTTCGTCTCTGCCTTTTCTGAAATGTATTTGCTGCGCGCGACCAACGGTGGTGAGCGGCAAAGCTTTTCTCTGTCCGCGGGCGCAAACTGTACGAGAACTGCAAACTCGTATAGCGACACTTATACCGCTTGGCGTGAGCAACCATAACCGTTCATTGGAGCTAATCTTTACATTTTGTCTCTCTTCCTTCGCAATGATTTGATGCTAGGGGCAGTCTTTCAGTCGACGATCCTGCAAAACGCGTTGATTACTGGCATACAGTTATTATTCATTGACCGTTCGCTTGGCAACAGTGTGTACTTTATGTCACTTGCCATGATTGATGAGAAATAATCATTCATGAGCACGCACACTGCATTCGTGCTGACATATCTATGTACCCTACCTACGATTTATGTTGATGCATTGGCGGTGCTATGAAGGCCATGGAAAATTTGAGAAACGGTATTATTTGATAATGTCGATGGCTGGTGGTATGCCCACACGGAATGGCAATGTGTGGATATACGAGTACGTGCTTGTAGGCATTTTCCCTATATTAGGCGAGTAATCGTAAACCAGCATTCCCAACTGCCGAGATAAAACTTGTGTTGCTGTGAATGCTTAAAGCAATTTAACCCACGAGCCGCTGGGGGGGGGGGGGCATAAAGTTGCCCCCCTTTACGTTTAGTGAAATATCTCCGAAACCTGATGAGCTACGAACGTGAAACTTGGCATAGCTTCAAATGAATACCTAGGCAATGTTTGAGGAATGTTTGGTGGTTGTAGCACCTAAGATGACGTCACAGTGACGTCATAAAGTTTTGTCGTTTTCCGATTTGGACCGTTTCTGCTGACGCTGAGCATGAAACTCGACTGTAAATGAACTAGACAGCACCTGCTGTCATCCTAAAACATCTAATTACACTTCTATCTAGTTTCTGGCCAATAATCGGCCCTTTATATTCGGTCCCATATATCTGATGTGTCGTGAGGAATATGAGAGTCGCAATTCTATAATTTCACTTATGACGTCACTGTGACGTCATTTCAAATGGGATCGACACCAAATCTGGACACAACCTCGGCTAGGTATTCAGGAAGATATGTGCAAAGTTTCGCTTCTCTATCTCTTCGCGTTGCGACGATATCGTCGCAGAAGTAAAGGGGGGGCAACTATATGCCCCCCCAGCGGCCGGCGGGTGGCGCGGAGGCCCAGCGGCCGCCGGGTTAATGAAAGCTGCGATAGAGCTGCATTTCTTATGATAGAAAGGAGTGGTGAGTGGTTATTCTGTCTTTTCAGTTTAGGACCTGGCAAAAATTACCTCAAGCCACAAAAAAAAACTAAAAGACAGGGATTTTAAGAACAGCGCTCCAACCAGTGAATCAGTTTTATTAAAACAACTTCCGCTGCTGTAATACTGTAGAATATAACGTGAAACGAGAACATTGGCACATTAAATTCGGCTGGGAAGATGCATCGCAGTGCAGGGATCAAAAGATAGCATTAAATATGCATCTGACAATGAACTTCATTTGTCTTCCATTGATCTATTCCTATCTAAATGTGTTTTTTATTTATTTATTTTTTTTACAAGCAAGGCTGATTTCAGAGGAAAGCAACGAGTGTGGATAATAGGAAGTTATTTCTGATTTTTAATTGAATAACTATACAATTTTGTTTCTATAACTGTGTTTATTTTGATTCGGTACTCTAGTAAATAATAATCAAAAGGTAGCACAATATTTAAAAAAGACAACGCATGTCGTGAACTGAGGCCCCGCGGATTACCTAACCTCAGCCACCACCCCCGCCCGCACCAGCACACGTACTGGGGCTACGACCTGCGGCGCAACATGAGCATCGCCCGCGACGAGTTCGGTCACTACTCGACCGACCTATTCACCGAGGAGGCCATCGACAGAATCGTCACCCACAATCAGTCCAAGCCGCTGTTCCTCTACCTGGCCCACCTGGCTGTTCACTCGGCCAACGAGTACGAGCCCCTGCAGGCTCCGGCCAACGTCATCGATCGGTTTGATCACATCAAAGATGGAAACCGGAGACGATTTGCAGGTGCGAGATAACCGAATTTTTATAATTTTTCTCCCGTTACATTTCTGTTCATATGTAAAATTCTTTCCTTCATTTTAATGTCTTGTGAAATCAGCAGCTTGACGTGCTCCACAACGGCCTGTAGGGATGCTGACAAAGCTGGACGAGTCCGTGGGACGGGTGACGGCGGCGCTTCAGGAGACGGGTCTCATTCAGAACAGCATCATCGTCTTCACCACCGACAACGGCGGTCCGGCTGCCTCCTTCGACTTCAACGCTGCCTCCAACTGGCCACTACGCGGGGTAAGGACACACACAGAGCGTAGTTCTGTTCGTTCGGGGTGTTTTGTCACTCCTGTTTACTCTCGTTTTTAGCTACATCAGCTGTTTTATCGATTGGTTCCCATCACATTACTAGCTTTATCACAAATTCATAGCTTAGTCGGCATTGATCTGTTTCTGAGCCTGATACCGTATCGGTTTGCAGCTCAAGAGCCTGCTGTGGGAGGGCGGTGTGAGGGGAGCGGGTTTCGTATGGAGTCCCCTGCTGAAGAAGCGCTCCTACGTGTACGAAGGTCTCGTGCACATCACAGACCTGCTGCCCACACTAGTGTCCGCCGCCGGTAAGAACCTTCGCTGGAGGACAGAGTGACATTGGGGAGCCTTGCTAAATGTTACAGGATTAAAGGAAAAGCAAGATGGCATACCTAACACATGAGCTGCAATTTAAACTAACGGGGTGTGTGTTTATTCTGTTCTAGAGGCATGTTGAATAGATAAATAAGACGTTGTTGATCTGAATCGCGTGTTCCTCTTTTTCTAATAGGTGGCGATCCCAAAACGCTGGGCAAGATTGATGGCATGGACATGTGGTCAGCGATATCTAAAAACATGACATCTCCAAGGAAACGGATCCTTCTCAATATAGATCCCAGCGTTAACTATCGCGCTCTCATCGAGGGGAACCTGAAGTTCATAGAGGTATGTTGACCCCAACTTCGGGCTAGTGAGTTGCAACAAAGCATCATTCTGCTTATGAGGTGTATGAAAGCATAGATGCTCAGAATTCCATCAATCTGGTTGGTTACATAAAACGGTGATAAATGGGGAATTATATGTAATTCAGTAATTCTCTATCATACTCGTAGCATGCCAGGAGCAATGGATATAAACGCTAGGTATGTCACATTTCACTCATAACACCCCGTTGCCTGACCCCATCCATCCTTAGGGCACGTTTCAGGCCGAAAACTGGAGCGGCTGGTTCGGGCCGTCCGGAAGAAACGTTTCCCGGTATGATCTCTACAATCTAATGAAACGATCCCATGCTGGACGTGTTGTGCGGCTGAACAAGATGCAGATCAGCGAGGACAAATGGAAGCAGCTTAGAGCACAACAAGACGTAAGTGGAGGGATGGCACGGCACGGGTGCGACATTCGATTGCTATGATGGCTGGGCATAGAAAACCATGGCAATGAAATTTAATATTTATTGCTGATATTGTTCTTGAATGCTTGCCTTTTCGTTGATCTGTTTATTTTTCTATCGTCTTACTTTTTCGTGTTATATTCAGACCCCACATCCTTCTGCCTCAGATCCAATGCCAGCAGAGCCCGTCGCCGCGTCGCACGTGCTCCAAGGCACCGTGTCTGTTCGACCTGTCGGTGGACCCCTGCGAGTACCTGGACCTGTCGCAGACGATGCCGGCCGCCACCGAGCGGCTGAAGAAGGCAGTGGACGACTACCAGAGCGACATGGTGCCGCCGCGAAATAAGCCCGTCGACCCGCGCGCCAACCCGAAGAACTGGGACTACGCCTGGGTCAACTGGGGGGATATGGTGCACCCGCCCCTGCCCTAACGTGACGTCGACCTGGAAGTAACAATTTTTGAAAGTATGACTAAAAATCCTCATTTGAGCCTGAGGTACGTATGTGTCTTAGAAGGCTTGCGAGGCGTTCGAAAGAATGTACCCGGACGGCGCAAACCCTAGTGTCGCTGTCAAATACTCATGCGTGCCCCGGTTACTTGCGGCAGTTCGAGGCCGATATGGCCGGAGAGTGTCTTCCATTACCGAACGAACGCTCGCATTACCGAACGAACGTTCGCCACTCACGCCAGCCATGAACTGCAGAGAAAGTAGCGCGATGCCGAAAGCCAGTGCGAAATGATAAATGATGCTATTTTGCTATGTTTAGTCAGATATACGCCATTATGAGACATGCGTAGTGCGTGTCCAGGGTATATTGAATTAGGGTGCGTGTCTGTAGTGGCCTAGTGCACTCGTGAATAGGTTAATTAATATAAACATGACATGCGTCTGTCATATTTTGTCACCGTTATGCCATACGTTTTCTATTCGTCAGCCATAGCATACAATGTGCCTGATATTACGATGATCATTTGCAGATACACGCGCAATGTGGGGAAGCGTAGCCACCAGCCACTGCCACCATGTTGTCGATGCATGGTTCCGTCATATTTCGCATGACCACCTATCAAGCGTGAAAGATACTGTGCCGCATTACGCACGGGTGTCACCGTTCCGTGCTTCTATCCTCAGGATACTGAAATCCTTCTCCTCCAAGCCGCAACCCCCCTCCGGGCTGGACAGGTAACTTTATCTCATGCGGGCTGCTCCCTTGGAGCGGCACCGCTGCTCCTGAGGGAGCGCACCCCGTAGCCGGGTGCAGTGAGTGCCTTGGGGCTGGGTGGCCTGTCCTCTGGACGGGCTCAGCCCCGGCGACTCACTAGGGTGCCTGCCCAGACCAATGTCTCCCCCTAATTCCTATCATCCTTCCGGCTCTGCAATGGTCTTGTCGACCGAAAGGGCCTAACCCAAAAAACATTTTAATTTAGCACGGGTGCCTACTCCCGCTCTCCCATACCAAACGCCTGGAAGATGCTGTGCCGCATTACATTGGTGATTGGATGCTTACCCTCGCGGCCGATAGATATCTCCCTCATCAGATGCCTGAATGATGCTGTGCCGCATGACGCATGGGCGCTTACTCTTATTGCCGGTAGATGTCTCTCCTATCAGACGCCTAAATGATGCTGTGCCGCATGACGCATGGGCGCTTACTCTTTTCGCCGGTAGATGCCTCTCCTATCAGACGCCTGAATGATGCTGTGCCGCATGGCGCATGGGCGCTTACTCTTATTGCCGGAAGATGTCTCACTAGTCAAGCGCCTGATTGATGCTGTGCCGCATAGGTGCTTTCTCTTATTGCCAGTAGATGTCTCTCTTGTCAAGCGCCTGATTGATGCTGTGCCGCATGACGCATAGGTGCTTACTTTTGCTGCCGGTAGATGTCTCTCCTGTCAAGCGCCTGATTGATGCTGTGCCGCATGACGCACAGGTGCTTACTCCCGTTGCCAGTAGATGTCTCCCCTGTCGAACGCCTGACAGGATGCTGTGCCGCAAGACGTGTAATTGCTTCCTCTCGTTACCAATAGATGTCTCTACTGTCAAACGCCTGACAGGATGCTGTACCGCATGACGCGCAAGCGGTCGGTGAAAAACTACTTAGAAGTAGAACTGTTGGGTGCGCACAGTGTTGTGGCGCATTCGGCATAGCGAAAGAGTAACGCGGCCGATGAAATCACACGCTTTTGACGTCAACGAACAATCAGTGACGCTGGGAGTAGATACTCTGTACTCTCACTTCAAACGTAGCATATGGATGTGTAGATCCGACATCGACCAATCGCTTTTGAATTATCGTAGCCCAGCGAGCTGCTATGACGTCACTGCTGCTGCAAATGACAGGAAATGGATAGCAAGATACGGTGCGAAAATGAGATGCGAGGCCGTGAAGAGAGGACGGGAAGGGGTGGAGTAATGCAGTATTCACCGAAAGCAGTGTTCGTGGTTAGCGTAAAATGTGGTTAAAAAAGTTGAAAACACCAGACCAACATCTGGCCTGCTGAATGAACTTAGTAGTCCCACTGTATTTATCAATCGGCGAATATATGAACGCCTTCCCAGAACACATACTGGCGAATACAGTGGCAACTCAAACATCTGATCCCGGAATCACACGGCGAAATTAAAGCAAATCGAGCGAAACCATTCGATGGGTTGACTAGCACGGATTTCCTTTGATCAGAACACTGCAAACGTTTCCCAGCACGCAAACGGCCATCAAGTCCGTTCCCTAACATCACACAGAAGCCCAATGCACATAATTCTGCTTCTCGTATTTCCCATAAAAGCGCTGCCAATTACTCAAGTGCATCACTTCCGTGACGAGAAACAAGACCCAAACTCAACCCCAAACGAGTCTGACCGACACACCAAAGACCCTTTCGGGAAGAGAATGCCCGACGGTCCGATATTTGGGTCTATCACAGACGCAAACACTTCTGATACTGAAGTAGCTGCGTCAGCTGACTAGCTCGACACGGCACGCAGTTTACCATGGCAACCGGGGCACCCCGGCTATTAGAGCGCCTTACGGTGGGGGCCATTGGTCGGCGGGTGCTCGCGTACGGTGGGTGACGGAAAACGGCGAACACGCCTGTCAGTCACGGTGCATTACCGGATAACCACTCAACAACACAGTGTTGCAAGTCGATTCTCAAATCTAGTGTCGACTGTTATGGAATGATCTTCACACACGTTTCAGCTAGCGTACAGCATATTCAAATCATTATCAAGGCTTAAGCGCTAAAGTTGCCAGCGTGAGACAGTTTAGGTGTCCAGCATGCATATTGTCGAGGTGCTTAAGGAGCACGCTAGCTGCCGGAGATAGACACACATTTGGTGGGATGACATTTGCACGAATGCCCAAAGAAGATCAAAGAACCCCACGGATCAAAGCATACAAGCGCGATGGCAAACACCAAACTAAAACTATATCATATAACTGACTGTGATTTAAATAATTAAATAATTTCCCTTCTTGTTCATCGTAAACATTAAAAACAAAATTGTATGCAGCACTCCATGATTCAAACTAGTCTTGAAAAGCTCATTGGGACATGGTCCAGCGCCGCCCGCGGCAGCCGCCAAAAGCCTCACTTCTTGAGACAGCCACCAGGGCTGAAACAAACAATGGGCCTACCACGCCCTGGCAGCTACGTCGCCACGTCCTGGGCACGTACTCGCCACGTCCGGGCACATCTCCTCCCCACGTCTCCGGGCGCAGACATTCCCGACATCTTCCTTCAGAGTTCAGCCCCGAATCCTCCAGCGTCTCAATGCCGTGAGATGGCGCAGCCCCGCGAAGCTGCAGTCTCGGACACGGACCGTTTCGCGCTCGGCTGGCTTGGCACTATTTCGTGCACGTCTTTCGGGCTAGCCGTCGCTAGGGACAGCGGTCTGTCTATTACGATCGGCGCTGTGATCGACTCCGTAACTATGACACCGATCACACTCTGTCTTCAGATTCGACAGGCTAGGCAGATCCGCGCCCTTATGCCGAGTCCTTCTCTAGGAAGGACGGATCGGCGGCGGACGGCGTCTTCACGTGGAACTGCTTCAGGGTGCCCTCCAGAGCGCGCTGGTTGCCCGTGAAGTAGTTAGACACGGCGTTGTGGTAGAGCACCAGCTGCTTGTGCATCACTTTCACCTGTAAAAATGGGTTAATTATTGCGAACTGTCGGCGAAAGGCACGAAAAAGAGATGTACAGAAAAATAAAAGAATAAGGGAGAGGAAAAAGGGAATAAGATGGAGGGAGGGAAAGCACGATACAGATATTGCATGGCAGCTGCCAAAGGTATCCTGCTGTCACCACATAAAGCATAGTTTATCTAAAAAGCACCATCTCGCGAAATGAATAACCACAAATCAGTTATTGTACGGTCCAGACTCCTGCCCTCCCCACCCAAACCCTCACTCGTCGAAACAATCACAAAGCTTCACTAACATCTCCACCGCACGCTCTCACCCACTCACCCTATTTTCGTTGAGGAAGCGCAGCTTGATGACCACATCGGCGCGCAGTTTCTCGTAGTGTGCCTTCTTGGCGTCGTGCAGGCGTCGTGCCTCCTCGACCTTAGCGGCAGCGCCGGCAGCCGCGTCGCCGCCCTGCTGCAGCCACTCCAGGTCGGCGCGGTACGCGTCATACTCGATCCTGACGGGGAGTAGAAGACATGGTGTCGTGATAGGCACGAGTGACGAACCCAGTTGAATGCATAGAATATGCCCAATCTCATTAAAAAATGGTTTGTGTTTTACATTCTGTCATGTAGCTTCTTCCTCCTAAAAAGGCTGAGACATTTATTTATTTATCTATTTATTCATAATATCGTCAACAAGCAATGTCCATTGATAGGCGAAGTCCATGAATGGTCATCTATTCGCACTGTCTAAATTCTCCAGAACATCCCTTCAGTTGAACTGCAACGTTGGCATTCCTTGTCAGGAATCCGTCCTCCCCCACCCAGAGCGCCGTCTTACCTGGCCATCTCGTACTGTTTGATGGTGATGAGCGTATCGTCCATGGTCTTGTTGCACAGTGTGTTGATGGACGAGACGAAGAAGTTAAGGGCGTTCAGCAGGGTGCGTCCATTCTTATGCAGCGCCCGCTGGGTGGTGGCGTTGTAAACAAACTCATCCTGCAGCTCGGGACTGTGCTGTCCGAGCTCTGTGAACTGCTCGCTCAGCTGCAGCTGCGGGGACATGGCGTCATACATGGTCAGTGGACTGTGCGATATCCACAGTTAATTAGATAAACTGTGGCGATAGTGACAGAATCTTAGGCCACCCCACAGACTGATCACCAGCCCCAGACTGTTAGCGGATTGCACATGAATCATGTCAGCAAGCGCATCATTATACACCTATTAGAAAGCTTATTTCTATCCATCCCCTTCCAATTCAGTACACTCATCGTCTCGCCCAATCTGTCTGAAGTGTCAGAATCCAATCGCTGGCGCTATCGCGGGCCCAGCCAGCCGATCGATTCCCCCGACACCCCAGGTGGCAGGCCGTCCCTCGACAGTCCATAATTCACCATCGCCCTCTCTCGTCCTGTAAACCGGTCGATAGCGGGCGGTTTCCACCCTAGGACCGACAAAAGTCACCCTACGCGCCCTTCGACGTCAACAAAATTCCTAACACAGTAGCGGCGAAATTTTTATGTTCAGCATGCTTTAAACAAATATCTTGAGGCACATACCTGTGTGTTTAGCATGTTACAGAAGTGAGAGGAGAGAGCCCGAGCCAGTTTCAGCACGTTCAGGTATTCCTTCTGTGTCTCCCTTAAGCGCTCTATCTGGGCGTCGAGCTCTGTTGACACACACGGGGAGGGACGTCGGCGTTAGCTCAAACAGGCAACGCCACACTAAGACAGGTGAAACGGGGAGGGGTAGGTCTGGCGGAGGCAGGTGTCAAATGCCTCCACCCGGGCGCAAAGCTAGCGTCAGGTTTGCAACACTGACATCGACGAAACGTGGGTAGTGGCCGCTGTTATAAGTACGCGACTAGATAGAGCATTTCGGCCGAACGGACTAGTGAATAGTTGAACTAATGTTAGACGCCCAGTAATTCCCGCCTAACGGAGCTGTGTGTTTGACTAGAATGTGTGTCTCGGACGTTTGCCGAAGCTATCAGTCCCGGTTTCCACACACTCTGTTGCCGCAATGTTTGACAACCGGTCCGTAACACCGATAAAGCAGCTAGAAGCTGTCATTCAAGTTAACAGTTGCCGTATTACATACATAATAGGAGTTCAAGACACGATGTGGTTTGTTGTTTTGTTCCGAAAGCAGGACTACCCTACCCCGCTGCTCTTATCGCGCGTAATTCAGCGTCCCAGTTCAAAGTAATAAACTTACCAACATCTACAGTGCGGGAGGATTTTCCCAGCTTCTCCGATATCAGCTGGCGAGAATACTTGTACGTTGAGATGCCCCATGCCTTGATGGACTCGATTTTGGCCTGTACCGTCGGGTTCACCTGCTGATGGCTTGGAGAATTCAGCGGAATGTTCGACGAGACCGCTGAAAATGGATAGGTTATTAGTTTGAAAATGAATTATTATAACACTACCAACATTCATGAAATATGAACACAACTCCTTCCCGACACCAGAACAACGCAAATGCTCAAACTGCAGAAAAATTTACCAGCTCATGATACATCTCTTCTCGATTTAGCAATTAGCATCATACCGATAAGTCCCGTATCAAATCAACCTTCGTGCCACAGCAATAAACTACCTGGGACATGGCTATACCGTAAACGTGTCATGCATGTATTTGATAGCGTAAAAAGTAATTCTTGAGGAGTAAAAGTGCATCTCGAATGCAATTCTACACGTCTAGCAAGTAGCATTAGTGCCAGCTCAACGTAAATGACCCCAGCCAAACTACATAGGTAAGTGTCGTAAAGCCACGCGACGAACAAACAGCTGAACTCCCTCCCCCCCCCGCGCAACACAGGCGGCTCCGGTTACCGATAGGTGACTCTCGCGCCAATTTGAGCAGGAACGTCAACGATTAGGACATGGCTCGCAAGTGACTCCCGGCACGAACTCCCAAGTGGCTTCAGGCAGTAACTCACGTGTGATTCCGGGCAGCGACGAGGGCGGAGTCGGCCGGGACCATCCGTCGGAGCCCGGTTGACCGGCGCCGCCACCTCCGTCCACCACTGGGGAGGCGTCTCCCAGCTCCACTTCCTCCGTGCCGTCGGCCACCGCGGACGGCGCGGACATGGGCGGCAGGCCTCCGACGCTGGACATGGCGACTCACTGGTGTAGCGACTGACGGCACACGACACCAGTGTCAGCGGGGGAGGGGGAGGGGAAGGAGGGGCGGTAACAGGAGCCGGGCGGATGTTATACGAGTGATCTCAGCTCCGGCGGGCTGCCACGCTGCAGACTTGGGAGGGGGATGGGGGGGGGGATGATGGCATGCCTGCCATCTGGCTTAGTTGGCAAGTTACTGACTGGAGCTGGTCTACTGTACAATATGTATATTTATTTTGGATATCTAAAAAATAACTTGTGATGTATGCATTGGCAGATCCAAAGGGAGACTGAGACAGGAGCTGTATCCCTATCCAGGATTAAATATTGACTATGTTATTTCAATTTTTCGCTTAGAAAAAACTTAACTGCTTCATTAAGAGAAAGACTGTTTCATATTGCAAAACCTGTCCCATAGCTCAGTTGGTAGAGCATTAGTTGGTTCTATCTCCTCTATTTTATGAAGTGATGTTTTGGAACTCCTTTGCCTTTTTTATATTTTGTGATAAAGTGATTATGATGATGATGATTGGGGTATAGGGTGCCTGTGGACTGTGGTGGAAATTGGCACCATATAGGTACCACATCTTACACGGCTCAATGCACGTTTGGGTGTAACTTATAAATGTTTTGTGTAAAAAGTATCATAAGTATTGATGTGTGATCTCCCTTTTCTACCTTAGAAGGATGTGTTCTTTCTTTTCATGATATTTTGTTTTTTGGTGAATTTCTTCAGTTTTAAGAGTGCAAAAGAGGGAAATGACCCATAACACCTCCCATGAAAACTTGAAAGTTGAAGATCAATAGCCTGCAATGTCACAGTTTGTTTACAAATGTAGCATATTACCTAGCTATACACCACCAACTTCCATGAAAATACATGAAAATGCACAATGAAATTCCATTTGAGATGGAGATGGTGCATTATATCTGCAATAACAGCAAAACAATTCCAATAAAAAAACGGTATTAGTAGAGCAGACGTCACACGAAGGTTTTCATTATATGCAGTTGAATGCATAAATCATAATACACCATATAGCAAACAATATACAAAATAAAATGTAATATATAAAAACTCGCCTCCAATGCTCCAATCCCTCCAATCCTTGCTCCAATCCAAGGCCCTCCAATCACAAATTGCAATTATTCACAATTGCCGCAAAAGTGTCCTTGCCTATCATTTGCAAGAAGTCGATAATAGCTACGAGAAGCCTAGTGGTCATATGCACAGTCATATGGATTCTGGTATTTTGTTTCAAATACAGACACTGAATTTTCAAAAATAGATCGGATATAATCTTAAATTTATTTATTATTATGTGATTTTGCCAGATTAAATCATATCTAGCCGACTTAACTTTTTCAGCTTTATTTTTTCGGTTTTATAATGCTCTTGAGTCGATAATTTGTTTGTTGTTGTCAAATGTGAAATGCGTGCGTGTGTTTTGTGTCGGTGTGTTGTGTCTCTGTTCTTTTAATGCGTTGTTTTCGCTTTAATTTTGATAAAGGTATTACAAATATCAAAGAATTCTACGGCTATTTTTAATGGAAATGCCATAGTGATAGGTAGTTAGCAATTATCATAGCAATAGATTCTGGCTGATTTAAATAAGTCTGAGGGGGATCAAAGCATGAATTTCTAGTTTCTACGCTTAAATAATTTGAGCGAGTCATCAAAATTGTAGGTGAAATTGTTTATTGTAGGTGATCACAAAGCAGTTAATGGCTTTTAATTTTAAATTTGTTGCTATAGCCTGCGAGAAACAATTTGAATTTGCGGTAAAGCCTAATAGTCAGGGGAAGGAGGCCCAATTTTGGGCCGAATAACGCAAAATTGGGTAGAGCTTAGCAGAGGGTGGTTTCTGGGACAAAAATGACCGCTGAACCCGAATCTGACCGGTGCGCACCTCTAACTAATGTTGCACCACTTCCAGAGCACGTGGAACTGCGTGGTTCTTCTTTTTTGAGGAATGGTACCCTTTTTATATATTTTAAAATAAAATTAGTCGTGTAGTTGTGTTGTATTCCAAAACTTTTATATTATAGTAAAAAAATCATTGCATAAATGAAAATCCTAGTTAACGCATATCGCAGACTATCTATGACGTCACTGTGACGTCATTTATTCGTAAACTGACGGGGAAAATGAGGTGTGACATCAAGACATTTAACTTTATTCACAGGATACGCTCATTGGCGGGTTTAAAATGCATTGAGCATGCTCAGAAAATATCTCCCCGTTGCAAAAAGTAAAAATCGTCTGGATGGAGGTACCATTTTGGTCTACAGGGGGCGAAATCTGCGGAGTGTGCGTTTTTACCCCGAATAGTTTTTGTGCAATAACTTTTGATACAATGCTTCCATGTCGTCCATTTTACCATCGTTGTGATTCTCTCACCGAGACGCATCGAATAGTATGCAAATTGGCTTCGATTGGTTAAGATTATATTTTACCGCAATTCATGAGCTCAGGTCGATTATCACGCTAGTGAAGGTTATGACCTGACTGGAAATGGTCATGTAGTTTACCAATCGCTTTGGATTATCAAGATAATCGCATGAAAAATGCTTTCATTGTTCTTATGTGGTTTAATCAAAAGCTATAGCTGAAATATTGCTGATGACGTTTTCAGGACGTCACAAGACAAAGATATAGAAGTCGTTCATATATGTATATTGGCGCCGCAAAGCATTCGTATGGCATGCAGTATGCTTGCGAAATTGTAGAATTAGATGTGTGCTTACCAGGCGTAGTTTTAGTTTATTACGTTGGCATACGTACCTAATAAGGTGGGCGTACCTAAATTTCGTCACAGAAGGTTTCACATGTGTTATGTCTTAAGTTCTTATCAATGTCTTGTGGTTATTCATGTTCTTAGACGTCACATGCCCGAGCATTGAAGAACACGTAACAACTAACCGGAGAGACTTTGATTCTGGTTGGTTGTATTCATCTCTTCTGGTAAATATACACACACACGCACAGGCGAACACAGATAATGTAGCACGGCTACTATCAGGAGGCGTTCGGCTGCCGGTCGCCGGCACGGTGACTCTGTGCACCCTGGGCGGTGGCCTTCGCCCAGGACGTCTGCCTCGTCCATCCAGCGGCCGCGTCTCGTCGTAATGATACAATATGTTCCGTCCCATTCTGTACAGTACACGGCATACGCACATAGGTAGTATCCAGAGTGCTTGGCACCGCCGTTAAATTGTATGACGCCAACCATCTCTCTCATCTCATCTCATCTCATATATTTAACACATTTATTCAAAACAAACAATCAGTGTTACCTCGATTGGCGCAAAATTGCCGGAGCACTTAACTCGGGGCGCCTCTCGAGTACTTACAATCGCGCTGGGTGCCGCCCGCAGCCTCACAGCCGCTGCCCGCCACCGCGCAGACCGCTCCCAATAGAAGTAAAGGCGCCGGCGCCAGGGGCAGCGCTCTGTGACGGCCGGTGTCAAAGGACTGGGCCATCCGGTACGTGAAGTCGCCGGTCAGGTCGACGGAGCAGAGCGACCGGTCGTTCTCGACGCAGGACTCGGATAGATGCGCCTGTCCCGATGCGTCAGCCGGCTCTTCCTTCTTATTCTTCCGCGCATTGCCGGCCGTGCCCTAGGGCGCGGCAGACCGGGGCTGGTCCACAGGTGGCGTGGTCCGCCCCACTCGGTCGAGGAACTCCGTGACGTATTTAGCCGGCCCCGAGAGCACATCCTAGAGGGTGGGGAGCGGCTCCCAGAGCCGGGTTCGCGTTCTTGCGCGGCCGGGCACTCGCATAGCAGGTGCGCGACCGTGTCCTCTTCGCCGCAGTGTCCGCAAAGAGAGCTGGTGGCCAGGCCAATCCTGAAGAGGCGTGTTGCGTAGTTGCGTCTTTATATGGCAGTTTACAGTTCACGATAAGATAGACCGTTCTGGTTTTTCACAACACACCGGGCCACATCCTGAAGAGTGTGGCCCGGACCAGGGGTGAGCAGCCGCTGCGGATCTGCGAGACAGTGGTCGTTCCCCATCGGTCGAGGTCGTCGTGGCCAGGGGTGTTCTCCAGATGTGGGTGGTGCTTGGAGCGATCGAGGGTGAGCAGGCCGGTTCAGTGTCTGATGGCGATGCGCGCACAGGCCAGGTCAACTGGGATCTGACGCTGGTCGCCTGATGTCGCCGCGATGTTTGCTAGGCGGCCCGCTTCTTCATTACCCTCGACCCCCGCGTGGCCCGGGATCCACTGAAGACTGATAGTTCTGCCCCCGGCCGCGGCAGAGTGCAGGAGAGCCCAGATGCCCTGTGTCAGGGCCGATTCCTGCGCTGCAGGGCCTCGGCTGAGCAGTTGGAAGCCGGACAGGGAGTCTGAGCAGAGCAGGACATACCGAATGGCAGCGAAGGATGGCTCTGGCAGTCCCAAGAAACATTTTAACGCCTCCGCCATCGGCGCCAGCTCCGCCTGCATGCTGCTGCATACGACTTCTGCCGGTACGGTACATTCGGTCTTGCGCCCCTCACGGTGCAGTTCGAGGGCTCCTCCGCCGCCTTTCTTGGTACCGTCTAGGGCAGAGCCGTCAGGCCAGATTGTGAGGTCTGGATTTGGGTAAGCGGCCAGGGCCTCCAGGGTTGCAGCCATCCGTAATTCTGGTGGGTCAGTCCTCTTGGTAGGTTTCGGAAGCTTCAAGCCGAAGTGGACGTTGGTGTTGTACTGCTTCCACGGCGGTTCTCCCTGGTGCAGTGTTAGTGGGGCTACGGGCACTCCGCCCAGCCCAACTTCCTCGCACACCCACTTCCCCACTCGTCGGAAACAGGGTCGATGCTGAAGGTCAGCAACGTCCTCATCTGGCGGCGACGGCGCCGGCACTCCCACCTCCTGGGCTTCCTGTTTCTTCCGCATCCAATGGAGGTGGGCTCTGTACTGCAGTCTAGGTGGCGGTGTCTTATCAATGAGCTTCCGAGTGGGATCGTCCGGAGGGAGTCACGTCAGGCGTCCATACTCCCGGCCTGCCAACTCCTTGGCCCGTACTGCCAGCTCCGGCTCTCCCTTCTCCAGCAGCCGCATGCTGGTACTATTCAATCTCTTTTGGACTCAGACGGGCGAGTCGGGAGAGCTCCATATTCAGCTCGTCGTGCCCGTCATCATCAATCTGCAGCTTTGTCTAAAACGGTTCCATGTGTGCACCAAGAGCATCTGATAGTGTCGAGCCGCATGCATGTTGAAGGTGTCACCAAGCTTCAACTCTACAGGGCAATCACGAATCCATGCTCCTTTGATACAAATGAATTTTCACTTGCAATGTAGTCCCAAGAAAATGCACTTCACACAAAACAGGTTTACGAAGAGGCATTCGGCTGTCAGATCATTTTTGTATGTACTGTTTTGGTCCTGCATCGTCTATCGTGTGGTCTCGCTTCGATCTTAGATTGTTTTCCTCAATTATCCAAGATATTTCACTTTCTTACAAATGTGATTTTTGGCCTTTTTGATAAACCACAGCTGTTTATTTTCTTTCCCAGTCTTCATGACAAGCACAATTCTGGATCATTTTTTATCGCTTGCCAAACGCGCGTAACGACTAGGCTGCCCACGCTGACTTTCCGTTATTCATAGGAATGGATATTTACTTGAAATAAATAAAAAATTATACAATTTGAACTATAAATAAGACCAAAGGAACGATATTTAGTCAATTCAACGCCAACAGCATTTTGATTTAAATGCCGTCGCAGCGCCAGAACACGGTAAAAATGATATAAAAATATCCTGTTTCACGTGATTTATCAATCTGTTGAACTACTTCATCCAGTTTGACCAAATCTGTCAGGTGGTGACTTGGACTGTCACGTTCTCAACGTGACTCACATGTACCTCTGCAAAAACGATTTTAGCATGATCCGACTCAGAAATGTTCATAGATCATGTTTGATTATTTCCCCATCTCTGATTTGCATACGACGGGAATTAAGTTAAATGCTTTAAGGACAAGACGACTTTTTCAACTTATTTATAGGTAAATGACGTCACGGTGACGTCAACGGCTGCCCGAGCATCGCAAAACTTCAGCTTTCAATTACGCCATGTGTTTTTAGCACAGGGACAAAATCTCAAAACAATATCTCAAATATCAACGACGTTACGCTGCAATTCATTAAAAAGGTACCATTCTCCAAAAAAGATGAACCACGCAGTTGCACGTGCTCTGGAAGTGGTGCAACAGTAGTTAGAGGTGCGCACCGGTCAGATTCGGGTTCAGCGGTCATTTTTGTCCCAGAAACCACCCTTTGCTAAGCTCTACCCAATTTTGCGTTATTCGGCCCAAATTTGAGCCTCCTTCCCCTGACTATAAAACAGACTCTTTCCGCAGTCATGAAGTCTCATGCAAGAGCTTATTCAAATACATTGAGATGGAAGAATGCTCACATCAATGGTATTAGTAAGCCTGGCGTCCCGACTCCCAGTAAGATGGCAGATTGGGACGATGGACCAAAACAAATCTAATTTGACCTGACCTAACCTTACCTATCAACCTACAAACCTGCAAACCTACAAACCTATAACCTACCCTACACCAGCAAACCTACAACCTACAATGGTAACTGGCATCTTCCTAGGACGCCAGGCTTACTTATACCACATCAATTGCATGCACCTCCGGCATGCCATTGATACGGGTAACGGGAAGAAGTATAATGCATATGAATAGGCTCTCGCATGTGATTTCCTGAATGCAGAAAGTCTGTTTAAACGTGAAGATGAAGTTTGAGCAGATAAAAACAATCTAACCTGACCTAACCTTTCCTCAATTTCTCTGTATACTAAGGACTAATCAACTAACCTTCTACTTACCATAGGTACCAAATTTATTTGCTTTGAAGCTAATTACAATAACACTTGTACTTATTGTGTTTAATTGGATTCCTCTGCTTTGCTGGATTTTCTGTAATGCGTAGCGTTGAAGGGATAGCCATTAGGCATTATGTGCAAATTATTGTGCATATATTTACTCTCAATTTCTTCAATGTTACTCAATCTTGGATGTTTTTTTCAGGTAGCTTGGATGAATGAAGTCACATAGCAGCAAGTTTTGAGCTGAAGATTATCAGACCCTTTCTTTTTACTGAGTATACCCACTCACAGATCTAGCATGGGTAGGGGCATTATGGAAACATCAGCTTGGCCAGACAGTGAGGCGTGCTGGTTTCTCTCACAAGAGGTATTTCGCTCACTAAAGCAGATCTCTGACACCATTGAGGAGTGTATAGAGCTGTTTCCATCACTGCTGCAGGACCCTCATGAAGCACAGGCTCGCCAGGAGCGGTTTGTGATGCAGCAGGCAGCCAACCAGAGCTCTAATGACACAGCCAAGTGTGTGCTAGTGTTGCAGGGTAACCTCATAGTCCAGGCTGAACTGCAGATTAAAATTCAAAAGCACCCCAACACCATACACAAGACATCCATCAACCAGGACAAACCATGGGTGCTGACACAGATTCAGGATTCCGGCAACTTCCTGGCTGAAGCCCGACGGAAGGTTCGCGAGGCGGCGCAGTTGCGCCAGCGGCTCGCCGCCGACGACGCCAAAACGGAGCCGGACGTCCAGCTGCTGCGCTTCATCGCCGCCCGCCTGGGCGTCATCATGGACGAGCTGATGATGGTGCTGAAGCGCGGCCGCGACTGCTTGCTCAGCCCGCGCAAAAAGACCATCGAGGACCACCTCAACAGCGAGAACATGAAGGCGCTGAACCCGGCGCTGCCCGGAGACACCGCCGTCAGCTTCTACGTGCAGGGCCACCGGCTGATGCTGGCCGTCTACCACCTGGTCTCACAGCAGGGCAACATGCGCTTCGACTCGTTTCTCGCCGAGTGTACAGTCTCCAAGCTGAACAGCATTCTAATCTGCTACACACGAGCATTCCAGATGTGCCAGCAGATCAAGAACAAGCTGTTTTGGGCGACCAAATGCAACGAAGTGAAGAATTTCCGTTATGCAGGGTTCGGGCAGAACAGCGTTTGGTGAGTTACCGTTTCAACTCGCACTGTGCGGTATGTTCATTTTTCAATATGTTTTCTCTTGTGTTGTCTGTAAAACTTAACGAGTATGTTGCGATTGATTCCATGAAACGACACAGTCAAGTGTGTGCTGTGACCTGTGTCGCCTGTGCTGTCATCTGTACAGGGCTATCCCATCGCGACCAAACGATGAGCAGTGAAAGGAATTGGTTAACGTTTTCTTAGGATGTAATATTTCCGTTAAAATATTTTCCCATCCAAATTCCGATGGGTCACATTAGTTGATCAGTTGACTCATGAATGACTAATGAGCGACACCGATTTTATGTTTCGGCATTCTAACTAGTTGGACATGGGACAAAAGATATAAATCGTATTGATTGTCCTTCGTTGTCTCATTTTCAGTGAGGTGACATAAGATGTTATAATTAATCGAGGTGTAGAACATACTCATACGGAAGTAATTTGTCAGCCGGGCTATAAGTCGTAGTCATTAGTGGAGCGTGGCGACCACTGTCACCATTCCCCTATCATCTTGTTACCTTTCTGGTTCCATCAAATAATCTGGAGAGCCATGCGTATTCGGTGGTCGTCGGTCGACGCAGCAATGGCACTGTCTTCGCCTCTCCCCTTTACTCATGTCGTTAGTCATTACCCTCAAATTATTTCAATTTGGACCACCACCGAATGAGCTTAGCCACCGTGAAGTGGTTATGTAATGCGTGTACAGCCCTCTGCAAACTGCGTGGTAGGTATTCTTTTTTTTCGACAAAACCGAGAATATCGCGGAATGCTATCGGTCACTCGGAAATCGTACAAGCAAGACGCATGAGACTTGCACCTTAGATGGGCATTACCATCGTATTCATTTTCCATCCAGTTTGGCAACAAAACCCAAAAGTTTATATTTGCCCCAAAACAAACTGTTGCATTTTGTTACCACACAAAGCATATACTTTGTTTAGTGATAGACCCAATCGAAGGAGTGGAGCATGGTGCCTCTATTTGCAATGAATTCCGACCGACAGATCACATAGTCTTTGAGTTATTACCGGTTTTGTCGAAAAAAAAGAATACCTACCACGCAGTCTGCTGAGGGCTGTACATACCTATATTTTATCTGTGATCAGCGATACCATAAATGCATAAATCGATAGATTAAGCTTCGATTTCTTATCCAAGGAACACATTTATCGTGATTAGCTGGTCTTCAAAACGGTGACCTTATTCATAATTCAGGCATTGGTATTTGCAGTGAAAACTTGATGTACCGTACTCTTTTATTATACAGGGTAATGTCATGGCTCACGGCTTAAAAATGATACCAAATAGTATTTTTACAAATGCCATGCTTCCGGAGGAGTACCGCTGCTTTATGTTTGTTATAGAATCATCGACAAGAAATTGTTACCCTGAACTTTGAAGGGTATTTTTAGCACATATAACAATTAACAAGCGATATAACCGAGGATTTGTAAATTCCAAACCATCTAATTTCTATGGTTTCGTGCAGAAGTTGGATGAAAATCAGTTTTATGTACGTAAAAAGAAGATTCGTACAATACCAAATTTTCCAATTGTCTGTTCCTGAGAAGCTGTTGATCGATGTGCGTGAAGTTGGCGTCGGATTCGGATTCGTATTCAGCGTCGAGTACCGAATCACTTGAAAACGTCATATCTGGTCAATTCGGGGACGGGGAGCACGAATATGACATTAATTTTGCCCTAGCAGGTATCCCTTATCCCTTAATCGTCCCTTAAACGACGGGGCGCGCCAAAAGTGCCTCAGGGGTTCTTCCGATCGCGAAAAGAATGGTCCCAGGCGATTCCCCGGGTCGATATCTAGCCGCACCACCACTAACTTCACACGTGCCTCATATCCCTTATCCCTTAATCGTCCCTTAAATGACGGGGCGCGCCAAAAGTGCCTCAAGGGTTCTTCCGATCGCGAAAAGAATGGTCCCAGGCGATTCCCCGGGTCGATATCTAGCCGCACCACCACTAACTTCACACGTGCCTCATATCCCTTATCCCTTAATCGTCCCTTAAGGGACGATTAAGGGCAATCGGGGCGCGCCAAAAGTGCCTCAGGGGTTCTTCCGATCGCGAAAAGAATGGTCCCAGGCGATTCCCCGGGTCGATATCTAGCCGCACCACCACTAACTTCACACGTGCCTCATATCCCTTATCCCTTAATCGTCCCTTAAATGACGGGGCGCGCCAAAAGTGCCTCAGGGGTTCTTCTGATCGCGAAAATAATGGTCCCAGGCGATTCCCCGGGTCGATATCTAGCCGCACCACCACTAACTTCACACGTGCCTCATATCCCTTATCCCTTAATCGTCCCTTAAATGACGGGGCGCGCCAAAAGTGCCTCAGGGGTTCTTCCGATCGCGAAAAGAATGGTCCCAGGCGATTCCCCGGGTCGATATCTAGCCGCACCACCACTAACTTCACACGTGCCTCATATCCCTTATCCCTTAATCGTCCCTTAAATGACGGGGCGCGCCAAAAGTGCCTCAAGGGTTCTTCCGATCGCGAAAAGAATGGTCCCAGGCGATTCCCCGGGTCGATATCTAGCCGCACCACCACTAACTTCACACGTGCCTCATATCCCTTATCCCTTAATCGTCCCTTAAGGGACGATTAAGGGCAATCGGGGCGCGCCAAAAGTGCCTCAGGGGTTCTTCCGATCGCGAAAAGAATGGTCCCAGGCGATTCCCCGGGTCGATATCTAGCCGCACCACCACTAACTTCACACGTGCCTCATATCCCTTATCCCTTAATCGTCCCTTAAATGACGGGGCGCGCCAAAAGTGCCTCAGGGGCTCTTCCGATCGCGAAAATAATGGTCCCAGGCGATTCCCCGGGTCGATATCTAGCCGCACCACCACTAACTTCACACGTGCCTCATATCCCTTATCCCTTAATCGTCCCTTAAATGACGGGGCGCGCCAAAAGTGCCTCAGGGGCTCTTCCGATCGCGAAAATAATGGTCCCAGGCGATTCCCCGGGTCGATATCTTGCCGCACCACCACTAACTTCACACGTGCCTCATATCCCTTATCCCTTAATCGTCCCTTAAATGACGGGGCGCGCCAAAAGTGCCTCAGGGGTTCTTCCGATCGCGAAAATAATGGTCCCAGGCGATTCCCCGGGTCGATATCTAGCCGCACCACCACTAACTTCACACGTGCCTCATATCCCTTATCCCTTAATCGTCCCTTAAATGACGGGGCGCGCCAAAAGTGCCTCAGGGGCTCTTCCGATCGCGAAAATAATGGTCCCAGGCGATTCCCCGGGTCGATATCTAGCCGCACCACCACTAACTTCACACGTGCCTCATATCCCTTATCCCTTAATCGTCCCTTAAATGACGGGGCGCGCCAAAAGTGCCTCAGGGGTTCTTCCGATCGCGAAAATAATGGTCCCAGGCAATTCCCCGGGTCGATATCTAGCCGCACCACCACTAACTTCACACGTGCCTCACATCCCTCATCCCTTAATCGTCCCTTAAACGACGGGGCGCGCCAAAAGTGCCTCAGGGGTTCTTCCGATCGCGAAAAGAATGGTCCCAGGCGATTCCCCGGGTCGATATCTTAGTTAGTGGTGGTGCGGCTAGATATCGACCCGGGGAATCGCCTGGGACCATTATTTTCGTGATCGGAAGAGCCCCTGAGGCACTTTTGGCGCGCCCCGTCGTTTAAGGGACGATTAAGGGATAAGGGATATGAGGCACGTGTGAAGTTAGTGGTGGTGCGGCTAGATATCGACCCGGGGAATCGCCTGGGACCATTATTTTCGCGATCGGAAGAACCCCTGAGGCACTTTTGGCGCGCCCCGTCATTTAAGGGACGATTAAGGGATAAGGGATATGAGGCACGTGTGAAGTTAGTGGTGGTGCGGCAAGATATCGACCCGGGGAATCGCCTGGGACCATTATTTTCGCGATCGGAAGAGCCCCTGAGGCACTTTTGGCGCGCCCCGTCATTTAAGGGACGATTAAGGGATAAGGGATATGAGGCACGTGTGAAGTTAGTGGTGGTGCGGCTAGATATCGACCCGGGGAATCGCCTGGGACCATTATTTTCGCGATCGGAAGAACCCCTGAGGCACTTTTGGCGCGCCCCGTCATTTAAGGGACGATTAAGGGATAAGGGATATGAGGCACGTGTGAAGTTAGTGGTGGTGCGGCTAGATATCGACCCGGGGAATCGCCTGGGACCATTCTTTTCGCGATCGGAAGAACCCTTGAGGCACTTTTGGCGCGCCCCGTCATTTAAGGGACGATTAAGGGATAAGGGATATGAGGCACGTGTGAAGTTAGTGGTGGTGCGGCTAGATATCGACCCGGGGAATCGCCTGGGACCATTCTTTTCGCGATCGGAAGAACCCCTGAGGCACTTTTGGCGCGCCCCGTCGTTTAAGGGACGATTAAGGGATGAGGGATGTGAGGCACGTGTGAAGTTAGTGGTGGTGCGGCTAGATATCGACCCGGGGAATTGCCTGGGACCATTATTTTCGCGATCGGAAGAACCCCTGAGGCACTTTTGGCGCGCCCCGTCATTTAAGGGACGATTAAGGGATAAGGGATATGAGGCACGTGTGAAGTTAGTGGTGGTGCGGCTAGATATCGACCCGGGGAATCGCCTGGGACCATTATTTTCGCGATCGGAAGAGCCCCTGAGGCACTTTTGGCGCGCCCCGTCATTTAAGGGACGATTAAGGGATAAGGGATATGAGGCACGTGTGAAGTTAGTGGTGGTGCGGCTAGATATCGACCCGGGGAATCGCCTGGGACCATTATTTTCGCGATCGGAAGAACCCCTGAGGCACTTTTGGCGCGCCCCGTCATTTAAGGGACGATTAAGGGATAAGGGATATGAGGCACGTGTGAAGTTAGTGGTGGTGCGGCAAGATATCGACCCGGGGAATCGCCTGGGACCATTATTTTCGCGATCGGAAGAGCCCCTGAGGCACTTTTGGCGCGCCCCGTCATTTAAGGGACGATTAAGGGATAAGGGATATGAGGCACGTGTGAAGTTAGTGGTGGTGCGGCTAGATATCGACCCGGGGAATCGCCTGGGACCATTATTTTCGCGATCGGAAGAGCCCCTGAGGCACTTTTGGCGCGCCCCGTCATTTAAGGGACGATTAAGGGATAAGGGATATGAGGCACGTGTGAAGTTAGTGGTGGTGCGGCTAGATATCGACCCGGGGAATCGCCTGGGACCATTCTTTTCGCGATCGGAAGAACCCCTGAGGCACTTTTGGCGCGCCCCGATTGCCCTTAATCGTCCCTTAAGGGACGATTAAGGGATAAGGGATATGAGGCACGTGTGAAGTTAGTGGTGGTGCGGCTAGATATCGACCCGGGGAATCGCCTGGGACCATTCTTTTCGCGATCGGAAGAACCCTTGAGGCACTTTTGGCGCGCCCCGTCATTTAAGGGACGATTAAGGGATAAGGGATATGAGGCACGTGTGAAGTTAGTGGTGGTGCGGCTAGATATCGACCCGGGGAATCGCCT